AGGAAGGAAGGAAGGAAGGAAGGAAGGAAGGAAGGAAGGAAGGAAGGGAAAGAAAGATTGAGAACAAACCTAACCAAGAAAGTGAAAAATCTCCTTAACAAAAACTTTATATGTAAATTGCTGAAGAAAGAACTGGACGCAGACACTAAAAGATAGAAAGAGCTTGTATAAATTAATATTATACAAATCACCATATTACTAGAAATAATTCATTTAATTCCCAAGTAAAATTCTAATACCATTCCTCACAGAACTTGAACAATCTTAAAATCCATATAAAAGCTCAGAAGACCCCGAATAGCTAAACCAACTCTGAGCGAAAGGAATAATGCTGAAGGTGCCATCATAAACTGATTTTAAATTATGCTACAAGGCCACAGCAACAGCAGCAGCATAGTGCTAACACAAAAACAGATACTTAGAGATCAGAAAGGAGAGGAGAACCTCCCCTATCAGTGGACTTGGGGAGTGGCATGCATGCAGAAAGGGGAGGGAGGGTGGGATCAGGAGGGGAGGAGGGAGGGGCTTATGGGGGGATACAAAATGAATAAAGTATAATTGATAAAATAAAAAAACAGATACTTAGATCAAGAAAATAGAACAAAGTACCCCAAAATAAGCCCGCTGCATCCCAGACACCTCATTCTTCTCAAAAAGTAGCCTCTTCAACAAAATAAATAAATGACAAAGAAAAAAAATTGTAATTAAACACCAAATAAAAACCCCACAAATAATCTAATCAATAAGTGGCCAAATGAGTGGACAGTTCTCAAGAGAAGATGTACAAATGGGCAATAAATATATGGAAAATGTTCAACAATCTAGACATCAGAGAAATGAAACTGAAAATCCCTTTGACATACCACCTTACCCTCCCCACTCCCCAACCCCCACTCTCCCACTCCTCCACCTCCCCACCCCCCCTTCCACCTCCCAACCCCTGTTTAAAATGCAGTGGGTGAAGGAGGGAAAGGATGCTTTACAGGACTGATGAGAACGTAAACTAGTGCAGCCACTATGGAAATCAGTATTGAGAATGCTAAAAATAGATAAATAAATTAACTAACTAACTAACTAACTAACTAACTAACTAACTAACTAACTAACTAACTAAAAATAGAACTGGCCTCTGATTCTACTATCCCACTTCAGGGAATGTACACCAAGGATTCTAAGTCAGCACACCTCAGACGTAATTTCTCCTCCATGTTTATTGCTGCACTACTCATAATAGCCAATACATAGAGTCAGCCTAGATGTCCATAGACAGATGAAGGGCTGGGCACACACACACACACACGCACACACGCACGCACGCACGCATGCACATACACCAGAGAATTGAGCACTATAAAGAAGAAAGAAATTATGTCATCTGCAGGGAAATAGATGGAAATGGAGGTGATCATGATAAGAAATAAGGCAGGCTCAGAATAACAAATATTACACATTTTCTCTTATGCATTCCATGTTTTTTTTCTCATGCAGAATCGGGTGTTTTTAAAAATGTAAATAGAGAAGCTACTAGTTGGGTGAAGGTGGCCAGCAGAAGAGAAATGGAATAGGAGAGTATAGTGGAGAGGTGAACACGACTGGGGTTCATTATAGGAAAATAGTATACTGAACCTCATTTCCTTAGAGAGTTAACAAAACAAGGAAGAAACCAAACTGATTTAAAAGGTAATAGCCAGGGGCTGGAGAGATAGTTCAGAGATGAAAAGTTCCAAGTACTCTTCCATAGAACCTGGATTTGGGTTCCAACACACACATGGTGGCTCACAACCATCTGTAACTCCAGTTCCCAGGGACCTGACACCCCTTCTGTGCTCCAGAGGTGCCAGGCATGTGAGTGATACACAGACATATACACACACAAAACACCCTACACATAAAACAAAATAAGTGTTTAAAGTAACACCGAAACCTTTAGCTCCTATCTCTAGACTTAGGACTTCCTGCTGTCCCAACGCCCCTGAGGCCTTGCTACAACCACCTAGCCCAGGTTGGGCCTCCCTCTCCCATCCCTGCACTGTAGAAAACAGGTGTTCACACAGACATAAAAAGGCAACAGAGGAAGGAGAGACAGCAGGCCAGTATAATCAGTATGCTAGATGTAGAGGGGTATTTCAAAGTGTCACTTAGAAACCAGCATCCAAGACAAGATACTAAAGGAAAAGTCAAAAGTGGTCTGTCTGGCTGATGGAGGGCTTACCTTTGAAGAATCAACTCTGCTTGTTTTTCAGAAATGTATAGGCCCAGCATCTGGAGAGACTGGACAATTTCGGAAGGCTCAATTTTCCCTTCAAGCAATGAAAACAGAGTAAGGTCAGACCCAGAATCTGAGAACATTTCTGAATTTAAGGTGAAACTAAGTATTCACGTAAGCCAGCGATTTGCTTAAATACATGTTGTGGCATCAGTACTTAAATTGTTCACAGACACTTTACACAAATATTCACATATCATTTCATTCAGTAATCATAAAGCCTAGCAGATAAACAGTGATATTCCCAACAGGAGGCCAAACGCTCCCATGGCCTTGCTAAGCGATAAGAATGACAAGCACCAGGAGAACTGCTCATTTAAAAGTGATCATATCCACATTTAATAAAGGGGCATTTGACTACGCATGGAGTCACATCTGACCAAGTGAACAAGAGCAAGAAACCAAGAAACTGACCCAAAGAGAATAGAATCCTCTGAGAAACCTGAAAGTGAAAAATAGACAATAAGGATGGAAACACAATGGAAGAGAGAGAAAAAATAATACAAGGAAAATCTGAACATTGTGGATGGAACAAATCAGGACAAAGGGAAGGAGAGAAAACAGAACACACCCCACAAACACAAGCGCCCCTGCTCTGCCCTCAGGTGGCTCAGTACTCAGGAGGATCCTGACAGGCAAACAGGGCTGTGTTGCCACAGTGGTGTGGACAGCAAGCTTTCTGCTGTTGTTGTCTGAAGCGGGGAGGGGGACACCACACAAAGGACAGGGGGAAGGGAAGACATCCTCTGAAAGAGGAGCCTGAGTTGTGGACAGGCTGGTGTGAGGATCCACCCAGAGATAGAGGGATAGCAGGGAATGTGGGGATGGAGGGGTGACGCACTTGGATCCCTCCCAGCAGTCGCCTGCTCAGTACTTTTTTCTCTAAAGTTACTGCAGACTCTGAATTAGCAACTGTAAAGGCACTGGTCCTGCAGGGAATTCTGGTCCTGGCTCCTTCCAGCCTCTGCTGCATTTCCATCAGCTGACCTATCATCTTGTGTTTCTGCTCAGGCACCTCACAATTGTGCGTTGTTGATTCACTGACCTTGACCTCCTGACAAAAGTTTTCTAAGGAATCTACATTTCTGTGCAGCACACACTGAGGCTTTCTCCGACTTGCCAATACCAGAACTATGTGTGGGAAATGGCCAATAAGGTAAAATTATCCACCAAAAGATGTACAAACACACGAGATGCACAAAACAAAATAGATCATGAAAAAGACAACTGCTTACAGTCTGAGAGCTAAAATAAAGCGGAATGCCACCTTATGTTTTAAGAATAAAGAACGCCACCTTATCCTTACTGTATCTTAACTAGGAATGTCTACATTCAGCGAGTCAAAATTTTTACTCTTCTGTGCATGGTCATGAGTAACTGAAATATGGGATTAGTTCTAAGGTTAAATTTTTAGCAAATTAGTAATATTCACCAGTGCATAGTCCACGAATGATGAGAAAATAAGCTATAAATGTTTCAGTTAAGGAACTCTGATGAAAATATGACCCAATAATGGTAAGTTGTTTCAAAATAATATATGAAGTTGAGAGATCAAAAGATTAAAAATCAGCAGTTATTATTCATATTTAAGGCCTGAACTAGCTGGGTGGAGAAGTCCAGGAATGCCCTGAGAACTGCCTTACTGCATTCTTTCCCCACCCACTAGAGATACAGTTGCTAGGAAACTGGCCCATCCCCCTAGTGAGGGACACCAGATCATTAATGGTCTGGGGACCTTCCTATAGCCAGTCAATTCAAAATGTAGCATTTTGACCAATAAATGCTTCCCAGGCAGGAATCGCCCCTGCCTTGGGCATGTTGGGAGGGACCAGAATCTTTAAATCACCCAACTAACCTGAGCTTGGGGCTCTCAGCTCTCACCACTTCGGTGGGGGGGGCGGGGGGGGCGGTGTGAGCCCAAGCTGCAGCTTGTAATTTATAATAAAAAGAACCTCATGTATTTACAGCAGAGTCTGTTTATTCCTGGTCTTTGGGGGTTCATGAACTGGGCAGAACACAGTAATAAGTGAAGGGGAACCTGTCTACAGTTACTAGAAATGGACTGTTAACACTTCCTGTGGTTTGCTTACAGTTTCCTGGAGTTTCCTTACAGTTTCCTACAACGTGCACAGCGTCTATTGGATGGCTGAGCACCTGTCACGCAACAGGTGGTCTTGAGATTGCCTCAGCTCCCAGCTATTAACTGGACACAGACAACATTGTCTCTGCAGCTGAACTGTAGAGGGTCCAGGCTGGGCTGAAGGTTTGCATGGAGGAAGGAAAGTTAACTTTAAAACCTGGATCTGGCCTGAGACTTGGATTTAGGCTAGACTTGAGGGCACATAACATGAGGCTTATTGGAGTTATTTTGCAACTCCACCTCACCACACACTCAGCAGTTTGCTGTCATGAATCATCAACAAAACCATCCCAAAGGTTGAAGGAATTTGATTTTAAGTTAGTGTTCAGTCTAAATCGGTAGCCAGTACACTGTAACTTTCAACTCAAATAAGGCCTGTTGACTTCCTTTCTAAATAAAGTTTTATTCACACAGGGCCATACAATTTGCCTGCATACCGTCTTTGGCTGAAATACAGCCACAACTCAGGCTACAGAGCCCACATACCAATATTTCTATCTGGATTTTTACAGATAGAAAAAGTTTGCAAACCAACCTTTGAAAAGGACGATATATATATTTTTTTAATCCATTGATCCACTTCTTTCTTGAATAACAAGTCTGTGAATGAGTGACCCTGACCACGCATTAAGTCAGGAAACATTTAGAGCTGCATTATAATCTTTATCAATTCATTCTCCCTCTCTGTGGCTGCCTCTGGGCATGGGATCCAGTGCTTTTTCCTACACGGCTACTGCTGGTTTTCTACATATTTAACTGGAATTCTATTCCCAAGCTACTTCTTTAAACAGAGAAAAATGCCATTCCAGCCAAAATGGACACTCGTGTTGCACTGTTCTCATTTTAAGGATCAGAGACTACCTTTTCTATTCAAAAAGGTTATCAGTGTAAGATATGAATATTTTTGATTTTTAAAATATATAATAATCATTCCCATACATAAAAAATAACCTCTTACTGGAAGGTAATTAAACAAAGGTAAAATAATAATTTTTTTAAACTGCAACTGTAAATGTGATCAGCATAATCTCAATAGTTAACACTTTATGACAATTTTTAATTCAGTAAACAAAGCTATCTATAGTTTCTTCACTAAAACTACAGACTCTTAAGGTTCCATGCCTCAGTGGTTAAGAGCATTTAGTGCTTTCACAGAGGGCCCAAGTTTGTTTCCCAGGATTAATGTTGGGCAGCTCAGACCCACCTCTAATCCCCGCTCCACGGGGTCTTATGCCCTTTCACAGTCTCTGTAGACACTTGTTCTCATGTGCACTTAACCCTACACACACACACATACACACACACACTCTCACACACACATACACACACACTCTCACACACACATACACACACACACATACACACACACTCTCACACACACATACACACACTCTCACATGCACACATACACACACATGCACATACACACAAAAAAAAACCTAAAAGACGATAAAATCTTAAAAAAATAAATGAAAATGGGGCTGGAGCGATGGCTCTGTGGTTAAGAGCACCGGCTGCTCTTCTAGAGGACCTGGGTTCAACTCCCAGCACCCACATGGCGGCTCACACCTGTCTGTAACTATGGTTCCAGGGGATCTGACACCTTCACAGACATATATGCAGGCAAACACAGGTGCACCAATGCACAAGAAGAAAAAAAAAAAAAAAAAAAGAGGGTTTGCTGGCCCATGTCTGTAATCCCAGCACTGAGGAGCTAGAAAGAGGGCGATCAGAAGATCTTCTTCAGCAATGCACCAAGTAAGAGCCATCCTGGGCAAAAAGAGACCCTCTGAAACAATAAAATAAAATTATAATTCCAAAAAAAGGATAAGTGAATAGAACTATGAACTCACAATCACACTGATAAAATACGCAGTAAATACAAACAGCAATCATGTGGAAGGTTAACTGTATCATCTTAGACTTTTCCTAAGAACTGGTAAGAGGACACACCGTCATTATTCTTGTCCAAACTTGTAAATGCTAACTTCATTTTCTTCTCATGGTCTTTCAGGTATTTCATAAATTCTTCAAAATCCAGCTTCCCGTCTTTGTTGATATCACCAGTAGTGAAAATTTTCTACAGGAAAAAAAAAGAAGAAGAATTAGAAATACTTATTGTTAGCACGGGCTCAAGTACTGCACTACTTGTGTGTAGACTTGAAGCAGACTGGCTGCTTTTTTTTTCAGACTAAAATACTAGTTTGGGCCAGGTGTGTCACTAGCCATTCTGGCATAGTTCTGCAACCTTTCTTGTGGTTAAGTAAAGATTCGCAGTTCCACAAGCAGTAGATGGCGCCAATTTAACTCTTACACAGAGGCTAAGGTTTCTCCTTTTGGTTGTTTTATAATTCGCTTTATGGAAATAAAAACCAAAAACACGGGTCATGTCTTGTAAGCTTGCTGTCACCTTCATCTGTGTTATGATACAGACCCAAAGATGGGCAGAGTTCAGGAAGCTTTGTGGTGGAAAAGGGGGAGGTTTGGCATGTGAAGGGGTGGGCACAGGCTGGCTGGCCAGGAACAGAGAATTTAATATGATTGTACGGGGAGGCATAGCTGCCTTCAGTTAATCCAAGATTGAAAATGGAAGCAAAAACTAGCAGTGCCAGTGTGAACATAAGGAGTCTTAACTAATCAAGTCCCAGCCATTCGAGGAGGGGATTTTTACAGAAGCTAGCGTTTAACTTCCTAGATTGTCACTAGAGGCATCAACTGTCCTCCTCCAAGCCTGTAACTTTTAAGGACCAGGTTTCCTGGCTGTAGGTGCTGAGTCAATGTCTATTTTTATTGATGGTCTGGCCATTATCTGTTTATATATTCAGTCCCTCCTACTTACAGCAGAATAATCACTTAAAACTTATCATTTTTACAATAAAAAGGTACCTTTTGTACTTCACACTATAAATTTCTATTTAAAAAAATTCATTAAATTCTTAGTCCATATGAATGAAATTTATGCTACAGACATGAGAACTCACACACGTAAACTGCTTAGGAGATGTAACCTTTACAAGAGAAAAAGCCCAAGGGTTCTTTTAAAATAGAATTCTCCATGTGGCTGGTGCAGAGCCCTGGTGAATGGTTCCCCTTTCATTTTGATAATTAGGCCCTCATCCATAATGACTGGATGTGCAAAGCCTCATACCTTTTGCCAAAAAGATTTGCAAGAAAATAGAAATGTTGAATAAGAGTAAGTGGTTTTCAAAGGACTTAAACTGTTACGGCAAAATCCAGGATTCCTTCTGCAAGGCTAACTGGCATCAAATAAAAAAATACGCATCATAATTTGAAAGAAAAGGGACCAGGGCCCCCTGCTCCATGTGGAAGATTTCCAGCTCTTGAAGTTGCCACCTTTAAGACGCACCTCTAAGGCGTGCCACCCACACTTCGAAGCAGACCGCTGGCTGAGTACCCAGTCATTAGAAGGAACACTCTTGGGAAACACTTCTCCCAACCATAGCTTAGACAAAGAAACCACAATGCATTGCTTGGCTTATGGAATGGCTTTAAAGACATCTGGTCAACAAACAAATGGAAGCTTAAAATAAAGACTCCAAAAATTTACACAGCTAAGAGGATGAGGGTGACTCTTAACTAACGGTAGCCTCTTAGAGGCAGAAACAATCATTCCCAACTACGTCTGAGCCCCCAAACATGTGTGAGGTAAATATTCCGGCTCTCTAAACCCCAGGCATATCTTGGGCTCAGAGGCTGTGGCGGTTTGAAGAAGAATGACCCCATAGGCTCATACCTTTGAATGCTTGCTCCATACTGTTTGAGAAGGATTAGGAGATGAACTCTCTTGGAGGTGTGTCACTGATGGTGGGCTTTGAGGTTTCAAAAGCTCATGCAACTTCCAAGACACAAAACTGTAGCCAACGGCAATGTTGGCTACAACACTGGAAGTCGGAAATTTTATTACAGCCAGAAAGAAAACTGAGAAATAGTCTCGAGGATATTAGCTGTGAGGATGACCTTGAACTTTGATAATCCTCCTGCCTTCTAATCCTCCTGCACCACCACAAAGGCTTATGTGGTTTTGGTGATTGAATCAAGAACTCTACTGATGAGCTACATCCCGAACCCCTGGATTATTCCCAAAAAAACAAAAGCGATACTAAACCAGCAGCAACTGAAAGTGCCCAGGTCAAGTTTGGGAGCATGCAAAATTGGCTTCATTGTGCTTCCGGGGACCTCTCTAGGGGTCATAGCTCTGACATCAACCTGAGCTTCATGAAGCCCACCTACTTATCCTCCAGAGAGTGAGTGACCCCTAAATTCTCCAGGCCTTCCATATATTTAAAGTCCACAGTTGCATCTTCATTGTAGTACAGATAAGAAAGAAGGTCTTCATGGAGGGAATCCATCTGCAGTATCTCCTGTGGCCAGGTAACCCACCCTGTGGCCCTCTGAGTCCCCCAGGGGCAGAAGTCTCTGGGAGGACACAAAGATGCCTGCCTGCAGTGAGGGAGAGGGGCCAAAGGCAAAGCACCTCCAGGGGATACCACACCCAAAGGAGAGCACGCTCATCTACCCGTTTTGGGAATGCAGGGGACACGTGCAGAGCCATAAGAACCAGCGGCTACTCAGGCATAAGGGTTCTGTCCTCAAGTCATCAGGCAGGAGGTCCTGCTTCCACACAGGCTCAACAGGCCCCAAGACAGAGCCAGCCACACCCCACTCTCCGGCCCTCCCGCCAGAAACTTCCAGACACCAATTGTCTAAAAAGGAGTTTTGGGTTTTGTCTTCGTTTGTTTTGTCTTTGTATCTGTGGGTTTTTTTTTTTAATCCTCACCCTCCAGAGCTACTAGGCGCCCTGAACCCCTTTATTCGTATATCTGTGGCCCCTCATCCTGCTCCAGCAAAATATAGAAGTGCAGTTTCACAGCAAAACTCCCCGCTTTTTCATAACTTATTTTTCAAACTGGACACTTTTAAAAGTGAAAAGAGCAAAGTTGAATATCGTTCAGTGAGATGGCACACACCTAACACTTGAGGGTCAGGTAGAAGGATCCTGAGTGATAGCCCGACCTGAGCTAAAGCAGAATAAGACCTTCGCTCAAAAATAAATGAATAAATACACATTTTGATTGGATACTAAAATTCAAAATAAATTTTAATTCTGCCATTCCCTCTTAGTTCTGGCTCTACCCCTGTCATCACACTGAGTGCTAAGGGCAGGACAAAAGCCATCACCTATCCTAGGCAGTCTCCATCAGCCATAGGTACTGCTGCACCCCGTGAACAGACACTTTTCCCCAGAGCTGTTGAGAGGGGGAGGCCATGTAAGGCTGAATCTCAAAACACTCGGTGGCCCGATGGTGAGTATCCCACAGGAGAGGACTTTATTTTGATTTAGATGTTCTTATTTTGTGTGTACGAGTGCTTTGCCTGCACATGTGTGTGTATTTCATCCGTGCTGGTGATGGAGGAGACCAGGAAAAGGCATCAGCTCCCCTGGAACTGGTGTTACACATGGTTGTGGTCCATGGTGGTCTGAGGAACAGGGGCCAGCGCTTTGTCATTATTCTTTTTCCATAAATTTTCTAATCTTTTCCACATTTCATTGTATTCTGCTCTGCCCTCACCTATTTCTCCTTTGGCACCTTCTTTCTGGCTTTTTGTTTTGTTTTTAGATCAAAGGTTATACTATTGATTTTTAAAAGATAGTCCCCATATGTGGGTGTTATCTGAAATACTCTGAGGAAAATAATAGTCACAGGACACTGGAGATGGAGGACAGGATCTGAAATTTGATGTTTTGACATGGGGGTCATGAGGGACATAACACAGTGCTGACAAAGGGAGAGTCAAGGGATTTAGAAGCAAGCTGTCTGCTGGTGTTTAGGGTTAGAAGAACGAAACAGCACCACATCCTCTATTTCCAGAATCTGGACTTACAAATAAAGCAATGAAAAACCAGGTAAAAAGCTGAGCATGGTGTCTCACTTCTGTAATCCCAGCCCCGGAACAACAGAAACGGGAGGATCCTGGGGTCTCGCTGCCTGGCCAGTCTAGCTTGCTGATGAGCTCCAGGTTCAGTGAGAGCCCTGTCTCAAGAGATAAAATGATGGGCAACAGAGGAGGCTAGCTGTGGCCTCCACATACATGCGCAGAAGTGTGCACACATGCACACACACTAAAATGGTGATGTAATATGTACTAAATGGCAACTCTCGTGGGGACTCAATATCAGGAAGAGTTCAATGGGGTAAACTGATCTCAGAGATCATCTAGATCTTGTATTCTACAATTTTTCATTTTTTTCTATAAAAAGTAACATTATATATTTTCATAATCACAGATGGAATAGAATCAAGTGTAAAAGCAGCAGTTTAGTAATGTTTGTTGCTTTGCTTTGACTTTTTCAGGGTTTTGCTCTATTGAGATAATTATAATTTCTCTTTAAACTATGGAGATGTTGAATTAATATTTCCCCCTTTTGTTGTGGTGAGGATCTAGCCCAAGCCTTCATGCACACACACACACAGACGCACACACACAGTGCAAATGTTGGCCTATTGAGCTTCACCTCTAGGCTCCATTAATATTGAAACTGTCTGAAACTTTATAATAGAAATACATTTTCAGACATCACGGCTGGGAGATTGGGGTGTAAGAAAAACAACCGACATCAAATATTCTAAAATATACAAAATCAGTATCTTTTGTGTTTCCTTCCAGGTTATATCTTCTAGAGTCTAATGTAACCTTTTCTTCGTGGAATTAAAATTCCTGAAAGAGGAAAGCAAACAAAAAGGGAGAGTCCTATATAAGTCTAATATGGCCTTCTCATGGGAGAGCATCCTGAGCCTGTCAGTTCCTTTCCCAAATTCCCAGCAGCCCGTGTCCCCCGACTCCACCACAGTAAGGATGTTTACCTCTTTTTTTATTTTTCTGCCTCAGATTCCTCACATTTCCTGGTAAATTACTATGATCATTTTATGAAGCATCCCCTCTCTTGTACCCTCACCAACTCATAGTTATTTATTTATAATCATTTTTTTAGTTATTACACGTAGAGATAGTAAGTGTCCATAAAGCAATGTTCCGTAAGATGCTACTTAAGCTCTCTTGTCCACTCAAGAGTCCAAAAATCTTACCTTGTAAATAGTAAAGTAGAACTGACTGGTTGGATTATGAAAATAGCAAAAGGATTTGCTGGCAGAAGTTGAATGAAGTTCACTGTGAAATATGGATTATTGTCTATCATACATTAGCTAGTTATGGTATATTTTGGACTATGGAGTCAGTTAGACCAGGGTTTAAGTGTTTTTACCAGTTACTACGTTCAGAGTCTTAGTCAAGTTATTTAATTCCTAGAAGCTTCAAATCCAAAGTGAAAATGATTAGAAAAATCTCTCAAAATCATGCAAAGATTTCTATTTAGCTGATGTTCTTGAATGGTGTAAGACAATGTTTATTAAGCTGGAGATGCAGCAGTAAACAAGGCCAAGAAAGCCAACCACTGTGTCCCTGAAACTACTCCTGTATATCAGTTGGTGAAAACATAAAAATCAACAAGCAAACAATGAACGGGGCAATTTCAGGGCAAAAATGAAAAGTGACATCTGACAAAATGCTTGTATGTTATAACATGACACTATCAACCTTGCAGCCTAGTCTTCCCTATCAATCCTGAAAAACACTCTCGGTTGCCTTTGCTCATTATCTTCGTCATGACTCTGGCCTTTTCTGTGTGGTCACATGGGCACCTCCTCTAGAGGTGGTGCTCCTCCCAACTGTGTCAGGTGTGGCTGCATTCTCTCAGTACACAAAGGAGGCCTGTTCCCATCCCTCTTCTGTGGGGCTGCGGAGATAGCTTAGCAGTTAAGAGCTCTTGTTGCTTTTGTAGGAGCCCCGGGTCCACACTCTAATAGCCCTGAGTCCTAGGAGAACTTACATGCATTTTCTCTCTTAACTTTGTAGTAAAGGGCTCAAGAAACATCGTGGAAGCAGAGGCGCAAAGAACATAAGTGCTGGAGGTGGCACGAACGCCGAGAAATGCCATCCTCCAGACATGGCATGAACTCATAGCAGCTGTGGTCACCTACATAAGGCCTGTGTACTATCAAGCCAGTTAAACGTGCGTGCATCGAGTGGGAAGTGTTTCTGACACTTCAGCCCTAGCTGAGGAGCTTTTGACAGCTGCTGAGGGAGGCAAGAGTCACTTTTCTTTAGGGGGTGACCACTGGAAGGTTGCCAATGCCAGTGAATGACCCCACAACCATTCACACATGGGCTGCATTTGTTAATTAATTAAACAAGAAGGACTGGAAGCTGTGAGGGAAATATCTTGGGGAGGAGACTAAGGCTCGTTCAAGAGAGGGAGTAGAGGCGGTTATGATTGAAATGTACTGTCATGATGCATGAAATTTTCAAAGAACAAATTTTAAAAAGAGCAAACAGAAGTCACAGTATCAAAAAAAAAATGTAGGATGGCAATTTTGTATCTGGCTGGCTCTTAATTTTTGTCTCAGGATTGCCTGCCATAAAGTTTTTTCTCTTCCCCCCAGTAATTTGATCAGCTACAGGCCCTCTGCGCCTGTTTTCAACACTCTACTTGGATGTTTGTTGTATCCAAAATGTTAAGACACTGGAGGCTGAAGCATGGGACAGCACATGAAGGTGCTTGCCACCAATCTTAACTACCTGAGCTCAGTCCGCAGACAGAGAACGGACTCCTACACTGTCCTGTCCTGCACTCCCCACGTGTGCACCACGATACACAGAAATGTGCACATATAATAACTACATTAAGAAATAGCTTAAAATCTAAAAAAAAAAAAAAAAATTAAATAGACATTTCCTCTCTTCCGTGTGCCAAATATATTCTAAAAAGTTTGGAAATACGAGGAAGAGGTAAAATTAGGTGAAAATCTAGAGAGATTTCCCCTCAAGGTAAATATCTGTCTTAGGGGCAAACCATTAGCTTGGAACTTGGAGTCATCCATAGTTCTTACCTATGTACGCTCAAACAGAGCATCTCCTCGGTCCTTGGCAATATACCAATGCTTGATCGTGCCTTGGTCAATATCTCTTGTCTGAGTCATCAAACTGAAGAATTTTATTGGCTCCAGTTTTCCAGATACAATGATGGACTTTGTGTGCCAATTTGATTAGTATAAAAAGGATGCCCGGGTAACCAATACAAACATTTCTGGGTGTAACTCTGGAAGAGATTAGCAATCGTATGTGTGGAGATATATGCCGGTCCACTGAACAGAAAAAAGTAAAAATGTAAAGAAGGCAAGGCGGGACAGAGGAATTTATCTTTCAGGATGGGAACATTTATCAAAACTGGTATCCCCTAAATGGATAGAATTGGAAATGCACAGACTGTCTGTCACTCAGCAGAGAATGCAATGAAAACCAAGTTTGTTCAAAGAAACATACAACTCAACTGATAACATGCAATCCTCAGACTTCATAATGTTCATTTCTCAAAATGTATTCTATGATAATGAAAACGTTATACATACACACAATGGAATACTGTAAGGGGAAATGAGGTCATGGAGTTTGCAAGTACCCAGATGGAAGTAGAAACAATCATACTGGATGAGGCAACACAGACCCAGAGAGACAAGCATCCATGTTTTCTCTCATTGGGGGCTCCTACTTCCAGACCTTCAGATGTGAGTATACAACCTGGAGTGGCGACAGAAGCTAGGAGAGTAAACAGGATCACTGCCAGGATAGGGGTATTGGGGAGTGATAGAGAGAGGATTATCAGGGCACTAGTGATCTGGTGGAGGAAGTGAAAGGGAGCTCTTTAGGGAGCGGGAGGGAGGCTAATACAGAAGGAAGAGGGAAGAGGGTAAAGTAACAGTAAAGGTCTGAAAAAGCCATAAGGAATCATACCATTAACTTTTTACCTAAAAAATAACTTTAATGCATGTAATTCTATATTGAAATATGCACTTATAGTTTTAGTGAACTTTTCTCACCTGGAATGAAAAGTCTCCCTCCAAGAACCAAAGACCACCTAAGCAGACATGAGAGGACTCTTTTGAGTTTTTGGCCAATGCTGTCCAAAGACTCCTAAAATATACAGCCTATTGCTACGGCCCTTGGTTACCTCCAGGGGGTGGAAGGTAAGTCCCTATTGTTGACGATGCCATTTGCTCCAGAAACAGAGCCCAGAGGCCCCTGAGCTGGAACTGACCTGAAAACCTACTCTCTGAGGACATTTCGTTGTACCAGAAGATTCACACAGCCTGCAAAAGATGGAAGAACCCAATCTAGCTGTACCACCTATGACACAGTAATAATCAGCATGGCACAATAACCCTAAGGGTGCGGTAGTGGCACACTTTGGTGGTAACCAACAACTCCCTAATTGAATTTAAAGCCTGGGACAGGAAACCTGGCTAACTACCCAGTATGGTGAAGTCACGGATACTGGAGGAGAATCCACAACCACTAATTTACTAAACCAGCATACTCCCTAGCAACAATCTAAACATCCACCCTTACACCTACATAGGTACAGGATTCACTCCTCACCAAGGAAACTTCTCTTTGCAAGGCAAAGGCTATTAGAGAAGGCCACAAACAACCAAAATTCAGAGTTGTGGAGCCCAGTCCCAATGGATACATTTACGACACACTCCCACACCTAAGGTTCAGGGAATCTTGAAGAAGAGGGGGGGAAAAAGAGTCTATGAGCCAGAGGATCGAGGAGTTTGCTGTGAGACTGTGTCTCTTAGCAATGTCAGAGACAATATCCATAAAGTCTCACCATCTCATCCATAAGGTCAAAATGGCTGTCCAGATCTGAGCTGAACAAGGATAACACCAACAGTCATGCCAGACTGGATGCGGGAAAGCCCATGAGGCCTCAGCACTGCACAGGGAACTACAAGCAAGTAAAGAATGTTGAATGTGGGAAAGACTGTCTTCCCCAGGGAAGAGCACACAATTAGCTGTCCAATACCAAATGGTCAGTCCTAGAAACATACAAGTAGCATACAGACTGAGCAGGTTATATTTCAGCATGCATACATATGTGTGTGTGTTTGTGTGTGTGTGTGTGTGTGTGTGCAATAACAATGAAGAAAGTGGCCTTGAATTTGGAGGAGTGTATATGAGGGAGAAAAGGGAAGGGAAAAATATTGTAATTACATTAGTAGCTCAGGAAGTTTTTTAAAATGTACCTTATGAAGATAACTGGAACAAAATGAAACAATAAAAATAAAAGCAAAGGGATTCTAAAGTAATTTTATTTGACACAATCAATAAGCTAAGTGGCAATCAGGATACTGACAATAATATACCGTTATAAACATGAAGTGGTTTGTATCACACAATCATTAAAGATGCTGCAGAGCAGTAATTAACAACCACTTTGATCTCAAGATCCTTTTAGAATCTTGAAAATTACTGAGAACTCCATAAAGTTTTTTTTTTTTTTTCAAAGGTTCTACATTTTATTACTGGACAAACTCCACCCCCAATTTAGACAAGACCAAGTGTCCAGGTTAAAAATGTAAAACTCCATCTGGTAGGATTGACCGATAGTCACGGGACCCAGATGATGTCATAGGACCCGGTTGATAAGGACCATGGCTCAGTGTAAACCTTCAGTCTTGCCACTGTGTGAATTCTTGCAAATTCACACAGTGATCCAGCTTGGTTCTCCTCCGGTGTCTTCTCTTGGAGTTGTACATCAAAGCAGGAGAAAGCACCTCCAAAACTGCACATAATAAAGTAGCTTGCAAGCGGGCGCAGTGGGGCACGCCTATAATCCCAACACTCAGGCAGGCAGATCTCTGTGAGTTCGAGGCTAGCCTGGTCTACAAGAGCAAGTCCAGGACAGCCAGGACTACACAGAGTAACCATGTCTCAAAAAACCAACAAAGCTTGCCAACCAGTCTCTGAACTGTCCATGTCAAGGTGTCATGATTTTACCACAGAAAGGCAAAATCAGAAACAGTCAGCATGGCTTTTCTCTCAGCAGGATAATGGCAGTACTCCCACAGAGAGGAAGCACTGTAATTGCAACCTGCTTTTCCATAAAGTTTTCGTGTGGTGTGGGAAGAGTGGGATTATTTCCCTTCACAGCTGACTGATATCCTCCGGCCTCCAGCCACGGTACCTTTGATACACTGCAAAGCCATCCTTTCCCAGCGCTGCTCCGAGCAGTGCCTGGAGTTTGTGGGGCGCTCAAGCTGGGCCACTTCTCCCCACCACAAGCGCCTCCTTGTCAATACCATTTGGCTAATTCCCTAGACTTTCTAGGAAGTGCTCTCTTGTATGAAGCTCTTCCTTTTCAAACCGCACTCCTCCATGAATCATGAATGAGGTTGAAAAGCTGGGGCCTGGTTGCTAAGGATCTCTGAGTGTTTGAGCACAAAACAACCAGAGCAGCCATGTTCCAGGCACAGCTGGAAGGAGCCTTGGGAAGTGATGGGAAGGAAAGTCTTTCTAGTATGTGTCCGGGGATGGTGGAACTCACTGCAGATGTGAGGAGAAATGGCCTTCAGTGGAAACATAGTCAGGTGACATATGTCCAGAGCACAGGTAATCTGGTGTAAAGTTGGCCCATGGCCAAGGCATTCCTCTGCCATATCACATACCACATGTTTATCCCAGCCTGTTTTTGGCTAAGTTGTCCTACTTATGATGGAAACAGAAACACTAAGACTCAGGCCTACAGGTCAACTCAGAGGGTAAAGACACTTGCCACCTAGGCCCGAGCTCCATCTTGGAGTTCAGATGGTAAAAGGAGAGAAGTGACTCTGTGAGCTGTCCTCTGACTGTCACACAGGTGATTAAATAAGTAATACGACTCGTAAACTCTAACAATAGTGACAGGTGAGGTAAGAGAGTCACCCACAACAGTACTCGGTCAGCTCACCTCTGGAAGGTGGTCTCAAATGACATACCACAGAGGAGGTGACAATTAGCTAAAAAATAGTAATTTCCCTTGGCTACAAAAACAGTGTACATTCATTCACTTTCCTAAACTGAAATACTACAAAGGTTGTGAAGAAAAATATAGAAAATCTCTTATCACTGAGGAATAAACATTGGTAACCTTCTAAGAAAGAATGTGTTAATGCTGGAAATAGTTGACCATGCCAGGCACAAACACCAGTAGTGACAATACACATTCAAACAGAATATAACTTATGTATGTGCAAAATATGCAATTTATTAGCGATAATCATGAGCTGCCGTGTTCTCTGATGTTTATATACATATAGTTTTTACATAATTTATATGTAACATTTTTTTTTAATTAAAGACTTTTCCCCCTGAACCTGAGTTGCTTAGGGGGCTGTTGTTATTGTGGGGTTGGGGGGGGGGGGGTCTTGAGGTTTTGTTTCTTCTGTTTGTTTCAGTTCACTCCAATCTGACTTAGATGAGGGGAGGACAGAGCCCAAGCTGACCTGTAACTTGTGGCAATCCTCCTGCCTCAGCTTCCAGAGTTCTTGAACTATAGGCATGCACCAGACGTTGTGTCTACTTTATTCATATTTTCAAAGAACTAAAATGTATTGGGAATTTTAAAGCATGCTTAAGATGAGACAAGAGTCAAAGAAATCAAGTCAGTGATTAGAAACACCTGGAAGAGAACAATAAAAACAACCCCCAACATGCCTGTGAGATGCAACCACAGGGACGACCAAAGAGATGCTATCACTCAAAATTACCAAGACAGGCCTTTGATTCAAGAGACGGGAGGAAATGAGTCAACCCAGAGCAAGTACAACAGACACACTCAGCCAAAGATACCAAACTTGGTTCTTTCAGGAAGTGTATTAAATAGGCAAAGCTATGGCCAGAGTGAAGGCGAAAGAACAGGGAGCAGAAATGAAAAAAGGACTCTGCATGCAGACACAGAAGTTCTGTAAAGTTATATATAATAATGCCTTGGGCAAAATGGGTAGGTTACAAATAAATAAATAAATAGATAAAATTGTAACTTACTAAGGAGACACAGTAAAGTGAAACAGGCCTCTATTAATGACACCGAACGACTGAAAGAGGAGTTTTAAAAATAGGTACAGAGCAGTTGGTATCCCCCGCAGTAACTCAAGCATGTTCAAGCCTGTGTCATCTTGTACTGCAGCGGGCTGGACAAGTTCCAGATCCAGTGTCCCCACCCTGCCAAGGGGCCTGGATGTCGCTGGCACAATTTACATGACTCAGAGAAAGTACAATTGCTTTGCAACAGGTCAACAATTCAAATCAATGTGTGTACTCAGGGCACTAACTTAGAATGTCATAAAAACGGAATGTGGCCTTTCTACCTCAACCAGGAGCTGGGAGCGGCGGGTTTTACCCCGTTTTGAAATAATAAACTCTAGTTGTTGTTAACAACGCTGCTTCAAGGAGACACAAAGTGTCTCTTTCACTCAACCTGGGACTCACTGAACTCTGACAACAGGACAACCAGGCGAAGTTTGCCAAGAACCAAGAACCAGAGATGCTCTCACAAAGAGCTGACAGTTTTGGAAAAATACCCGCCGCCTTCCAGCTCCAACTCTCTGGAGTAGTTCAGCGGGCTGGCAGGCATAGTTCCGCCTCCTTCTGGCCTGGCCTCAGGCCGCCCACTTCCCGGGACCTGGCTGTATCCTCAGGGTGCCTGCAGCCGCCCCAACACCCCGCAGCGACCCACCTCCTCGGCGTCCTGGCCCAGTGGGATGCCCAGGCTCCGCAGCCCCTCCTGCAGCTCTCTGATGTCCACCACGCCGTCCCCATTGCGGTCCAGCGCCCGGAAGAGCGTCTCGTAGCGTGTGGGCGGCTCCGCGTCGTGGCAGGCGGCCGTGGGCAGCGCGGAGGCCCGCAGCCAGCGCAGCATGGTCCCTGGGAAGTCACCGGGGGCTGCGGGCTGGCGGGGCGCGATCGCGGCGGCGAGGCCTGGCGGGGTGGGGCGGCGGCCGCGGAGCCTCGGGAGCGTCGTCGGGGGGCGAGGCTTCTCGCTCACAGGAACCCGGCTCGGCGCAGGGTGTGGCCGCCCAGTGGCTCTCTGGGCGGAGCTGGCCTGGGCTGGCGGCTGAGCCAGATTCCAGGACGTGCATGCAGGTAGGATGGGGTGCTAGGGACCCCGGAAACGTTTCTGCTCTGTCCGAACCCTCCCCCCCATCCCCCAAGCCACAAGCTCCGCCGCCGGCACAGTAAAGCTGGGGGGAGGGGCACTTTGACCTGCTGGTTGCTCAACCTCAACGCCCGTTGGGCTGGAAGACTTGGAGAACTGCGGTTTGTGTTCACCTGAACGACAGCAGGGGGTGGGGAAACTGCGGCTTTGCAAACGTGGAAAGGGCTGTCAGACCAAAGAGCGTGGAGAGGGACCTGATCGAGGCCTTTTTCCCGAAAGGAGCATCAGTCACGGAGGAGGCCATGGAGGAAAACGAGGAGATGGAGCACAGCGGACACCTTCCCACAGCACACAGAGAAACTTCAGCTCCTCCCCTCAAGGCAGGTATGGTCCTGAGGTTTGCCACTTAAGAGTTGAGGTGAGACACGGTTTCTGGGATCACAGGAGAAAGACAGGATCTACAAAGAGAAGATCCGAGGCCTGATCCTTCAGCTGGGTAGTTCCAAAGACGGGGCGTAATTTCTAGCTAGCCTCCCGTCAGTAAAATGAGACTGTTAACAGCTGCCTCGCCAGCAAGTGGAATGAATGCCCTTCTAGTTCAGTCGCTGCTGCTCAGTACAAGCTGTGATTAAATCCTGCCGTCTTCCAGTATTTAAAATGGAAACTAAAACCACTTGTTTCTTCAAAGCGGGGAGACTGAGGCCCCGAATTAAACCTCCTTCCCTGCTATTCTGTACGTCTTAAACATACTAATAAGAATACAGAATCCGTAGATAAGCACTGCCTGCAGTTAATAAAAACCGTCCCGAAACCAGTTTCTGCGCTTCTGTTGCTTCCGCATTGTAGTCTTGGGAATTAGCCCCTTCCTCAAAAAAAAGCTGTTTTCTCTCCTGGAAAAAATGGCTTCCTAGGCCCTCTCTGGAGATCCACTGATGTTGAGACAGGATGCTTGCCGACCCAGAAACAACCGAAAGGTTCCTCAGTAGACGAGCTCCTGAGCAACCTGCGCTGTGTTCCTGTAACACGATGCCTCTGGGCACCAAAAAGCAAGCACATGCTATTCCTATCATGTTCTGGAAAGAGCAAAGCTATGTAGAGGTAGAAGTGGGTTTTCTGGGGGAAGGGGTGCTGATAATAAAGGGGAAAGGGCAGCACAGGGTGGGGTGATGGGGCTGATCTAGATCCTGTCTGTGATGGTGGTTACACATGCAATGCTCGTCAGAAACTCTGTGAAGGATCGCAATACAGCAGACTTTAAAGCCATCTTCAACATGAACCAAGCGGAATACAGAATTCTTAAACAAGCACTGTGAAGCTCAAATATGTCTGTGAAGTGTTTAAACTGTAAACGTTGCTATCAACAATACTGGGAGCCATCGGTCTGCAGAGTCCATGCTCAGAACTTCTCAGAAACAACGCTCAGGTCTGCCCAGGCTTCCTGCATAGGAATCACACTGAAACAAGAGCCATCAATGATTTGGAAGTAGAAAATAGATGTGTGCCATGAGACCAGTGAAGCACCAGAATGATTTGTTTGTTTGTTTGTTTGTTGAATCTAATAAAAGAAAAGCTTTTTAAACTTTGATCCATCTTCCAATTATCTGGGAACCCAGTTTTACTGTTCGGTGGGTTGAGCATTACAGATTGTTGTAGTTTAGATCTGGATCTGGATGTCCCAGAAAGTCCCATGTGTTAGAGTACTGGCCCTCAGCTTAGCACTGTGGAACCGGCTAGAGACTTTTAGAGGTGAGGCATTCTGCAAGGCCTTCAGGCCACTGGGGGAGACCTGTCCAATGGAAGCTGTGGAACCCCGGTCTCTGCATCTGTTTCTGGCTTCCCTGGCACTGGTGAGAGGTTCATTCCACCCTGAGCGCCTACTGTTGCCATCCAGTACCCACAGCAGTGGCCTGCCAACAGTGAGGTCATGTAACCGTGGACTCAAACCTCTGAGACCTTAAGCCCAGGCGAACCTTTCCCTACTTATAAACTGATTCTCGCCAGTATTTGCGATAATGGTGAAGGAAGGCCAACGCACAGATAACAGTCACAGCAAAATTTCACATACAAGAAAATGTTCACGGACATCAGACATCTGCATAAGAGGGCTTCTCTTCTTGTGTCCATTGGTAAGGTCCACAGACCAAGGGCTCCCACAAAGGCCATGACCTGGGTTCATACTTAGTTTTACTTGATTCACTTCTCAAGTGATCAGAAAGAAAAAAGCACCGAGCCTTCTTCAGCACATCTGCTTTAAAGACTTCTGCATGCCCTTCATTTCCATGGAAACAACAGACTCTTGCTTTCATCAGTTCTGGTCCTTGAAGACTTCGGCACCTACTTTGGGTCCTGGGGAGTGGTAGAGGATCTGTTTGAATAGCCACTCCAGAGTCTCTCGGTCTGAGCAGGTAGACATGCTTACCCTTTTTATTAACAGCTGCTAACTGCCCTGTGCTACTTAAGATAAGTCATCAAGCTCTGCCCAAGGACCAGCCCTGTTCCGAAGTCCTCACCATTGATGCTCACTAAAATCCGATGATCACAACGTAGGCTGTGTACTGAACAGCTTCACTATACGATGATTATATCATGAAGTAGAAGATGAACCTAGATGTCCTGGCAGTGTAGTGAGGTAATCACTTTAACTTGAGGCTCATTCATATCACATTAAGATAACTGGAAATTCTATCATATTCTCTAAGTCATTTAGGAGTCAGAATTCCAGGTTAAAAGGGTAAACTGTCTCTTTCCCAACCCCTCCCATCCCCAAATAAATGCAAACAATTCTCAATTGTAAAAACATGGCACTGAATTACTGAAATCACCATCATTACTAAATCATGTGAATACTTCACATTTTAAAACAATTGTACTTGTTTTAAATAACAGAATTATAATTGGCTTTAAAATCATGCCTGGGCATTTTTCAAATTTAAAAGCTGTGTTAAGATTTCAGTGTTTCAAGGAGAGCAACAGAACAAGAATATTTGAACACAGGGAACTTCCCAGAGACTCATACTCCAACCAAGTACCAGGCATGGAGATAACCTAGAACCCCCGCACAGATGTAGCCCATGGCAGTTTAGTGTCCAAGTGGGTTACATAGTAATGGGAAGAGGGACTGCCTCTGACATAATCTGATTGGCCTGCTCTTTGATCACCTCCCCCTGAGGGGAGAGCAGCCTTACCAGGCCACAGAAGATGACAATGCAGCCACTCCTGATGTGATCTGATAGACTAGGATCAGAAGAAAGGAGAGGAAGACCTCCCCTATCAGTGGACTTGGGGAGGGGTATGTGTGAAGAAGGGGATGGGAGGGTGGGACCGGGAGGGGAAGAGGGAGGGGCTTCTGGGGGGATATAAGTGAATAAAGTGTAATTAATAAAATAAATAAAAAGAAATAATGCGGGGGAAAAGAAGAAGAAAATCTTGGAGTACTTAAATCAGAACATGCACATTGCAATCCTTGTTCTTGCTATTAATTGTTCAGGGCAGCAAATATTTGATGTGGTTGTGCTTGCCTTGAGATACACAGTAAATTTTTAAACAGATATATAATAAATATCCTATGTAATTACCATAAAAAAAAGATTTCAGTGTTCAATGTTTATTTGAATCATGCCCTGAAAACTATATATTTAATAGAAATAATTTCAATCTTCTTAATAACAATAGACAATTGATCAATATTTTATATTTCTATTTTATGCATAAAACACCGGTAGCCCCTCTTCTCTCTACTTTCTCTCTCCTTTCTTTCTCTCTTCCTCTCTCCATCTCTAAACCTTTATGCTTCCATCTTTATTTCCCTCTTTCCTTCTGCCTCCCTTCTTTTTCTTTCCTTTCTTCCTTAAAAGTTAAAAGCTACCTGGGAAGTTCAGCATGTGACCTGAAAGGATATCATCTGGAAAGTAGGTACAGCATGGCTGGAATTTGTGAGTGAGCATATATGAGCTTTCTTTTCTATGTTGCACAGGCTTGCATAGTTTGCAAATAGGCTTTTGAAGTCGACAAGGCCCCATATTCCTCTCCTTCATAGATGGGTTTACCTGTGATCCATTTTTCTTCACAGGAACAAACTAAGTAAAACCAGTTCCTTGTGACCAGAACAAAAACAACCCATAGTTGATATGATGTTCTCATGAGGTCAGCAGTATGGTAAAAGCCATCCAGATGACAGGAAGAAACAACACTAACTGGTGCTCAGATTGATGGCCAGGAATGAGGTCACAGCAGAGAACTCTCCTGCCTACACTCTCTCGCGGCCAGCTTGCCATGATGATGCTGGCATCAGAGACAGGAGGTTGGGATTTAGCTAGAAAGCTAGCATGAAGAGGTGAGTAAAGGCAGAGGTTTTCCACACCCAGATGTCTATTAGGGTAAAGGAAGTGACCTCAGGCTGGAGGAAAACAAAACTCTTACTTAGAGTTGTACTACTGTACAGGACATGGATAAATGTTAAGCTACTGAAAGGGAGCTCCTAGGGAGGTTCATTGCTTTAGAAGGTAACTTAGTAACACATTAAGTTACAATGCAATACAGAATTAGGGGTAAGAGAGCTGGGAAGATGTCTCAGTAAAATGTTTGCCCTGTAAGCATGAATTTGATCCCCACATCCTAAAACAAGGACATGGACATGGCAAGGCACACCTATAATCCCAATGCTGTAAAGACAAAGACCGGGGCTTGCTACCCAACCAATCTTGCCTAAATAGGCAAGCTCCAAGTTTATGCAAGACCCTGTCTCAAAATATAAGGTGGAGGGCTAAGGAGATGGCTCAGCAAGTACAGATACCTGTCATTTAACCTGTTGACCTAAGTTCAACCTTGGGGATGCAGAGTGAGAAAAAAGAACTGACCTCCAGCAAGTGACCTCTAATCTCCATATGCATGTCTTAGCGCGCGCGCACACACACACACACACATACAGGAATTTTAACTTAGAACGTGGCTGTTCTGGCATGAGATCACATCTAAAGACCTTCTAGGTCTATATGATCTGGCTGGAATACGAACATGACTCTAACACAGAAGACAGGCAAGCAGATCTGAGTTCATGGCCAATCTGGTATAGAGCAAGTTGCAGTAAAGAAAAGCTTAGGTACAGGCATGGTGGTACATACCTTTAATCCCAAACAATGAAGGTAAATTTAGTTTGTAGAAGGAAGATCCCATGTTTGAATGTGATGGCTAAATGAGTGGCAGAAAAGGTGATGAATCAGAGAAAGGTTTGAAAGAATAGGATATGCCTAACTCTCATGAGAAGAGGAATGGGAAGCTACTTAATGGGCAATGCAGAGTTAGAGGAAGCAGTTTTAGAAGGACAGTAATGGAGAGACAGGTTACAGAGAGAGAACTCAGGTGAAGACCAAATGAGCCGGAGATTAGAGCAGATTGCTAGTTAGTTTGAGGCTAAGCAGAGCAATTCAGGGGCTGAGAGAGAAGCCAGATTGAATAAGTCATCTGGGAGAGGAGTTTGAGCCAGAACAACTGAGTTGAACCAGCCAGCCCACAGCTCAGTAAGAACAAGAAAGGGTGAGCTTATTAAGTCTCAGAGGCTGAAAACATTCTAGGCCTAGGATAGATTGAACAGAAGCTAGAGGCTTCCAGGACTAGGCCTAGGTTAGCAAAAGGAGGCAGTAAGCCTCCCAGACAACAATTGAACCACGGGAATTTTTTTAAAGTTCACTGTACACACACACACACACACACACACACACACACACACACCCCAAAAATTTAATACAATTTAAACAAGGTAAGGAGCGATTGAAGAAAATAACTATTGTCAACCTCTGGCCTCCACATGTACTCTCATTCATATGAACACACACAAGCACACACAAAAGGTGGGAGGGAAACTACAGTAACATTAATTATTTTATATAAATTACTTCCCTGAATCATCTTAGAGTCAGGTACTATATTGTAATAATATTCAATGTTCTAGGAAAAGAGGGGCTTTAAGATTGCAAACAGACTGGTCACAAGAGATGGTATAATAAACCCTTGTCCTCTACTGAATATAAAGCAAGTGTAAGAAGATATTCCTTCCCATATATGCTGCTCATTCAACTATTAAACAGCCATTGAATGCCTGAGACTGCACCACCCAAACACCTCCAAATAGGAGAGAGCACAACAAAGAAAACCAGCTGAAGTGCCTATGTTCATGGAGTCTATCTTCACATCTAGGGAGACAGAAAACAACATAATCATTTCGAAAGGGTTCTAACATTATAAGAAATGTGGGATGGGGTCTGGAGAATGACTTAGCAGCTAAGAGCATGGGCTGCTCTTTCAGACGACCTGGGTTTGGTACCCAGCATCCACATGGTAGCTCACAACCATCTGTAACTCCAGTTGCCACCCTCCCTCCCAAGCCAGTTGGGCAACCACAGTTCCGCCTGCCTCCATACAAGTGAACATACAGTGTTTGTCCTTTGTAACTAGCTTATTTCGCTTAGTGTAATATCCTTCAGGCTCATCCAGATTGGAATACGTCTCAGGATTTTCTTCCAAAGGAGAAACAGCACTCCATCGTCTGCATACACCACAGCTGTAGATGGTTGCTTGCACATTTTGATTATTGCGAGCAAGGCTGATGATGAGCACAGATGAGCAGGTCGCTCACGGAGACCCTGCTTTGAATTGTTTCTGAAACAGTGTAAGTTGCTGGATCGTACAGCCACCCTCCTTTCTGTCATATGAGGTCTACTGAGGAGCTCTTCTCCATGAACAGTGCGCAGGGTTCCTGTTTCTCCATGTCCCCAGCAGCACCTGCTGTTCTCTGGGGGTTTTGTAATAATAGCCAGCATGCTGGCATAGGATGGGGTTTCATTCAGGTTTTCATTTGCTTTCCTGTGGTCAGGAATGTCAAGCAGCTTTGCTTAATTGTGTCACTTGGACACTCTCTTTGGGGAAGTGTCATTCCAAGTCCTTTACTCACTTTTAACCAGAGTTTACACAGTAAATGAAAATGACACAGTGCAACTGCTCATTGTGTACAATTGATACTTGCTAATGGAGTAAGAAATTAATACAGAACTATTAACAGAGTTCTGACAATAGTCATCTTATTGTAAAAGTGAAATATAAGGCCATATTAGCATTATTGCTCAGTCAATTTCATGACTCCTGAAGCTCCCATTCACACAGCAAATAAAAAGTAATGACTCAGAAGAGGAACTTCAGAGATACTCTGCTCTGAGTCACACATTTAGTCCCCCTCCCCCTCCCCCTCCAGGAGGAGATAGCTGCCCCACCTCCAGTTCCAGCAACCAGTCTCAATGAGATTGCTGCAAAAGAGCTGATGTAAATAGTGACTGTGGAGGACACAAACGGAAACAACTAAGAAATGTTAGCCCACCCTTCTCACAATGGGGGGGGGGAAGAAATGTTAGCCCACCCTTCTCACAATGGGAGGGGAAGAAATGTTAGCCCACCCTTCTCACAATGGGGGGGGGGAGAAATGTTAGCCAACCCTTCTCATAATGGGGGGGGGGGAAAAAGTTTGCCCAACCCTTTTTCAAAGTGGGGGGGGGAAGAAATGTTAGCCCATCCTTCTCACAATGGGGGGGAAGAAATGTTAGCCCACCCTTCGCACAATGGGGGGGAAGAAATGTTAGCCAACCCTTCGCACAATGGGGGGGGAGCTTCTGCCCTGAGCAAAACATTCCAGGCTTTGTGGAATTCCCTGAGGTGAGGCAAGGGAGGCAAATCCTGTCTACAAAGATGTCTAGAAAGAGAAAATCATCTTCATGGGGATGAGGGGGGGAGGGTCAGATGTGCAGAACTGAAGGGGACAGAGAACTAGCAAGGGAAATGACAAACCACATCACCCAATCCATAACACTCTAGATGGAACTGTGGATCGGACTGTCTATTTTACTGAAGAGATTAACTGTAACAGCAAATTGAAGTGCATTTTTGCTTTACTGTATAAAACATGTTCAAGCTTAACAATAGTTCTAAAAAAACAAAAAAAAAACCCAAAAAACTTGTGTACCTTACCAAATGTTTTCTAATGTAAATTGTATGATACATTAACATCCAGTCAAAACTTGATTTTAGAATTAAGAAGAAGGTAACAGGAAATGTAAAATAAGAATTCTAGGATAATAAATAGTTTTAAATTTTTAAATAACTTTATCAAAACTTTTGTTTAATTTGTATATTTTATAATAAAGACAAAGTGATTTTACAATTAATTGGTGTTTCCTTCTTTTTAGAAAAAAATATCATCTTATAACCCAGGTATCATCTCATAACTTAGTGATTAAAACAATGATGACAGTTTGATATTCCACTTCTAGATTAATCCAAAAAGCCATTTCACTTGTTCGTGAGTCACACAGCCAATGCCCACTGCAGGAAGCACTTTGATGATACTAGGGGTGAAGCCCCTGAAAAATCCCCTCTTTCCTTCTTTAGTGTATATTTGCTGAATGAGCTGCATCATACGTATTGTTTCCTTTTCCATCTTGGCTATAAATTTTAAAAAACAGTATAACTAAGTTGAATTAATTAATCAATAAACAGTATAACTCAGCATTTAATATTTACATATTAACGATTTATACAAAATATTAATATAAAATATTGATAATAATATTAAACATAAAATATTAATATTTACACAAAAGGAAACAGATGAGGATTTATAGAAACTGAATTCACTTTACAGGATACTCATATATAGAATGCTCTTACGATGCTCTGTAGGATAGTATCCACATTCTAGTCCCTGCCCCCCATAGGACTATAGCCATATCACAATGCAACATGCATTTAGTACAACTTCAAAAAGTCCCCAGCGTCTATAACAGTCTCAAATTTGTTTAAAAGTCCAAAGTTCAAAGTCTCTTCTGAGATTCATGCAATCTCTTTAACTGTAATCCCCTATAAAGTCAAAATCAAAAAGCATCATATACTTCCAACATATTATGACATGGGATCTACATTACAATTCCAAAAGGGAGCATAGTGAGGAAATACTGGACCAAAGTAAGGCTGAAAACCAGTTGAGCCAACTCCAAACACTGCATCTCCATATCTGATGTCAAAATGGTCTGCAGATCTCCAACTTCTTTCATCTTTGTTGACTACAACAATTCTTTCTCTTGGGCTGGTTCCACTCCCTGTGAGCAGCTCTCCCCAGCACATATCTCACAGCTCTGACATTTTCAACATTTTCCAGTCCCCAAGGTAATCCAGGCTTCACCTTCACAGCTTCACACAATGGCCTCTCTGGGCCTCCATCCAGGGGCATCCCCAACATACACCTGACCTCAGTGGCCTTCCTTAGTCGAGGAGGAAGATTCCATAGCCCTTTCTTCTATCCTTGACTCTACAGACAGAACCACGTGGCCAAAGCTGTCAAGTCCTGCTGCTTGCTGGCACATGGCCCCTGTCTTCAGTTCCATCCTCACCAGCTTTCTGGTTTTGATGGTTTCCTTTTTGACTAAGCTTAGCTGTCCTGAAACTCAATCTGTAAAGCAGGCTGGCCTCAAACTCAAGAGATCTGACTAAAAGCATACAATACCACATTTGGTTCTAAGCTTTTCTTTAATTTCTTTTCACAGTCGAAAGCTTATCTGGAATCTTGCTCTGAGGACACCACTCCCTTTATTCCATTAAATATCAGAATTTTCTTTAATCTCTTTATCTTCTTGAACACAGGATTTTGCTCCATTCCACTTCCTGGTGCCCCTTTTCTCCTCAAATTGTACATTTTTGCAACTTTCTTTGCTTCGCCTGCTCCTTTTGATCTGCATAAACATGGCTATTAGTGGCCACGCTCCACACTAAACTATTGTGAAATCTCCCTCTGCAAATGCAATTATCCAAAACTCCTCTTTTTTTTTTTTTTTTTTTGGACAAGGGCAGAAAGCAGCTACATTCAACACCAAAATATCACAATAGATTTTAGACCACATACTAACATTCTTCTCCTCTGAAACTTCTTGAGCCAGGCTCTCACAGTTCAAATCACCTCAGCACCACTGTCTGGATGAGCTAGGATGGTCCATTATGCCCCACTTAAAGTGTTCCACCGCTTTTCTAATCCAAAGTCCCAAAGTCCACATTCCTCCAAACAAAAACATGGTCATTTCTTATTACAGCAATACCCCACTCCTGGTACCAACTTCTGTCTTAGTTAGGGTTGCTATTGTTGTGAGACATCATGACCACAGCAACTCTTACAAAGGAAAACATTGAATTGGGGTTGGCTTAAAGTTCAGAGGTTTAGATTATTATCATGATGGGATAATAATGGTGGATGTAGGCAGACATGATGGTGGAGAAGGAGCTGAAAGTCCTACAGAAGAGACCGAGAGCCACTAGACCTGGCTTGAGCTTCTAATACCTCAAAGACCATCTCCTGCTTACACACTTTCTCCAACAAAGCCATACCTACTCCAAAAAGGCATACCTCCTAATAGTGCCACTCCCTTGGACCTATGAGGGAAATCTTAATTCAAACCCTCACAAACAGTGGACTATACATGTGACTATTTAAATTTAATTAAAATTTCACTCTTCGGTCACATTAGTACCTTTCAAATGCCTGATAGCCACATATAATGGGTGGCTACTATACCAGGCAGTACAGAAATAAATGGTTTCTATCACTGCAGAAAGTTCCCTTGACCAATTTGCAAGTTTTTTATGAGAGACTTCACAGAGGCATTTGGAAATGAGACTGAAGGGTAGTTTAATAGAAGGCATGAGTGATACTGAACAAGCAAATTCTCCATCTCAAGTGTGATATAAATCAAACCCAAAGCCTAACTGAGAAAAAGAGCGAGAAAGAAAAAGTAAAAGTATATTACCCACTGTGAGACCCCTAACATTTTGCTGAGAAAAACAGACCACATAGTGTTTACCATCCCTCCCTGAAGCAGACTGACATACAGAGAGTCCTGAAGAAGCTCATGACAGTGACGGTAAAATAAGGAATGGTGTGCCTCTGTGGGTTAGCTGTTGGTTTAAAGGAAGCAAATCTTTTCTACTGTTCTACATCTCCTTAAAAATATAACTGAAGCAAATGTGGAAGGCTCCAGGCAGAACTGTGGAGGAAAAAGAAAACTGAATCTTACAAAAGGTTCCATGGGAGCTGGCTCAGTGGTTGAGAGCACTTGCTGCTCTTCCAGAGGACCAGGGTTCAGTTTCTAGCACCCATGTGGAGGCACGTGACCATCTATCACTCCAGTTCCTAGAGATCTAATGGCCTCGTCTGGCCTCTCCAGGGACTGCATGGATGCAGCACATGTAGATATACGCAACACACTCACACTGATAAAATAAATAAACCTTTAAAATGATAACAATTCTTTCAGATCTGGTGCTTTATGTTGGTTAGCGTGTCCTTTATTTATCAATTCTATGGGTTTTCTGCTTTTAAACTTATCAGTTCATGCTTATTTAAAACATGGTTCTTACCTTAGTGACGATGTCATTAAACTAAAACAGTGAACTCACCTGCCTGCATGCGATTTCTAACAAGATTCAGAGGAAAAGAGGCTAACTGGCCGCAAGTGTGAGACAACGTACTACAGCCCAGCACGACTGCTAAATCAGGCTTCACGGAGTTTTCTGCGTAGTGCTCCAGCCAGTAGTTCTTGAGAAGCTGAAAGAGAAGAAAGGGCCGTCAGACTTGCAGCTCCAACTAGAATAAAGTTCAGCACCAGAGCTCTGCAGGCTGTTTGTACCTCTGTGACTCTTAGGTGCTTTTTGCCTGGCTTTGCTTTCTGTTTTCCTTTGACTGCTTTAGCTTTAAAGACCAGAGCAAAACCTCTGGAAATTCTCCCAGGAATTAACTGGATACCATTTTATGCCAACATCAAATCTGTCCAGAGACATACCCATGGTCCTGGTCATGAAATGCCATGCCCTGCCTGATACCATTGCCTATAACTGTCAGAATGCTCCTTTAACTCTGGCTCTCATCTCTAACCCACATTTATTCGTCTCCATGATTCCAATCTTCACAACAACCATGCAAGAAAAGTTCTGTTTTCTCAGCCTTACCTGTGCATCAGAGTCCCCTGAGCAGTTAGCAAATCTGAGATCCAGGTCCTTCCTGGGATAATTGAATTAGAATACCTCAGGATATGGCCAAGGAGTCGATTCTCTTAAAGACCGTCAAGAGGGTGAGTCTGATGCACACGCGGGGCTGAGAACTACTACTTTATCAGAAGTTATGTCTATAATCATCACTGCCAAGAAGGGAATTTTAAAAAAATTACTAGATGACCATATTTCTAAGAGAAACACAAATAAAAACACCCAGTTTCATTCTTGATCAGAAGCTATTTCATACAAAGCCATATCCCATTTTCAAATATGATGCAGAACATCTTATTTTGAGAATGAACTCACCTCGAAGACCGTGAGATCTAAGCCTGCATATGGTACGATGCTTATCAGGTTGGGAACGTAGCCTTTGCAGAAGGCCCGAACACCTTCTGTCTTCAGAAGCTTCCTGCCACAATCAATAATCCCAGAATACTCTCCAGTTTTACCTACCATCAGCCTGGTCTTTATCACCTAGGTGTGAAAGAATATAATAAAGATGTGCTGATTAGATTTACCTAATCTCATAGCAATCTAGTGAGATCTGTTTTATCATGTTTACAAATTTAGAGAAATCATAGAATCTCTGGTGGCTTATGCCTGTAGTCTCAACACTAGGAGACCACAGCAAGGGGACTGCCACAGTACAATGTCAGCCTGGGCTAAATAGTGACTTCCAGGCCAGTGTGGGGCACAGAATGAGATTCTGTCTCAAAAAACCAAACATAAACAACAACGTAGTCTAAAACTAAATGTCTACTTACTAAAACTTCCTTTTCTTTATTTAACCTGTTATTTTTACCTAAAATGTCTTTCTTCATAATCCCTCATGTTCAAAGTCTGTGCCATGATCATACACACATTCCATTTGTGTCTTTCATGGGGTTCTTAACTAGAAATAAATAAATTCTCCCCTTTAAGTTTCTATAGTACTATATAGTAAGCTATCTTCTAGAATTTTTTTAAATTTTGGATCATCAATATTGTTGTACATGTTTTATTTTCCCTTCTAGACTATCGAATATGTGATCAAAGCCCTCATCCGAATCTCCCTTGGATCTGACATGGCACCTAGCAAAGTACCTTCAATGTAGCATGCATACAATCCATATTTGCCTAATGAATGATTAGATAAATAAATGGATTTTTTTACTCTAACTACAATACCATTTGTCTTAAACAACAAAGTCTATTAAGACTGACACTTTATACCAGATTCAAATCTTACAAAGTTATTAAAATAACTGAAAATCATTTCTGATTGTCAGTTGCATCAATAGCATGATTTTAATTAAAACGTTATAATAATACATACCTCCAGGGGATAAATACAGGTTTGGGAAGTTGCGCCAGCCATGGAACCAGCTATAAATCTTTGAAGAACTCCTAAATTAGCATCATCAAAACTAAGTAATTTCTTATACTGTATAGATAAAAATATTGAAATGTATAGTATTACTAAAATATATACTTTTTAATTTTTACAACATTAATAGTATAAAACTATATTAAAATATAGGTCAGGTGCTGATTATTAACACAACCTAGTATAATACTAAATTTTAGTTTCTATGTAATAGAAAAGTTAAAGCTCTCTATTCACTTTTTTTCTTTTACTTTCCCCTGTGGAATAATTCAATAGCAATGTTAAATTACTGAAGTCTATTCATAAATGTGTTACATCATAATGAGCATGCAAATAACATACATGGGGGTTGCATTCTTATCATTTTATAGCACTCAACAGAGTGTTGGCTGACTAGGTAATTAGAAGAGTTAACATGACAGGTTATTTTGTTACAACTACAGTAAGAAAGATCAGAACAGTAACGCTCATGAAGACTATAACTGGGAACAAGCCTACAGGCCAACTACTTGTTAAAAGAATTAGGGTGGGAGTGGAGAGATGGCTCTGTGGTTAAGGACTTGCTATTCTTACAAAGGACATGGGGTTCGGTTCCCAGCACCCACTTGGAGGTTTGCAACCATTCTTAACTCCAGTTCTAGGGGATCCAGCACTGTAGTCTGACCTCTGCAGGCAGTAGGTACACAGGCCGTACGCATACATGCAGGCAGGCAAATCATGCAAACATATCTAAAAGCATTACTATATGTGTTTTTGTGCCTTGGGATTTTGCAGGTCAGACTTCAAAGGTGACAGAATAGTTTACTTGGCAGAGAAAATTACAAAGCAGCAAACACTCAGGCTGCAGCATGACAGAAAAAGCATTGAAGGCAGCCCAACATTCATTCATGATTAAAACTCTGGGGGAAATTTTTCAAATAGGTACAAAAGGAGGTTATCTCCATTCAATGAAGGTCAAACAAGAAAAGCCCTCAGCTAACATTCATGTTGGAATTTAATTACCATTTGTTCTAGTTTCATTTCTGTTGCATAACTACAAAGGGGTGGAGTCAGAATTTGAATTTAGAAAGTGTGGCTGCAAACTAAGAATGATGGTTCAGTAAATAAAGGGCCTATAGGCCTAATGACCTGAGTTAGAGCTCCAGATCCCACATGGGAGCAAGAGAGAACTGATTTCTGACCATTTTCCTCTGACCTCCACACACATACCATGCCTGGCCTTGCTAACCTGCACACACACAAACACACACACACACACAGAGAGAGAGAGAGACAGACAGACAGACAGACAAATAAATACTAAAAACGTCTTTGACTGAAATTCCGCATTCACAGTTCATGACTCTAACTCCTTACATACTGTTCCACATAGTCTCCCTTAATCCCTGATGAATGTTGGTATCTAATTTGATTTGCAGTGACTCTCAGTTCACCCCTTTAGTACACACTACTATGTGACAGCCCTTGTGCACCTCTAACGTTACCTCAAAAGCAACATCTCAAGACGAAGGAACGGAAACATGAAGACGTGGGCTCTGATCCTGACTCTTTTGCCAACCAAATATTACTTCAGTAAGTGGTGCATCATCACTTGCCTACGTCTTCCCATCTACAGAACGACATTGTGCAACACTGGCATTCACTAATGAACAGGCATTGTTCTGGAAACAAGCCTACACAACCTGTTCTAAAGTAAGCAGTTATTCCTGGACAAATAGTTTAAACCAGACCTAACGGAAAAGATAAAACCTGACTGAGAGTGCTAGCTGTGTCCTGATACACATTCTCCCCTTCGCCCTAAGAAATGAGTTCATTTGCAGCTACTTGTTTCACAACTAAAGACCACACTCCTAAATTCCTTTACAGCCAGACCTATGGATCCCGAAATTTGGTCTAGTGGCATGAGGAAATAAGTATTCCATGTCACTTTTGGAAAGTGTCCTAGAAGGGAAGGTTCCTTCCCTAATTACTGCCTGGATATTAGATCTGATTGCTGGAACTCCATCTCAGACTCAGGCCAATGGAGAGCACAACAGAAGGCAGATGGTGAGCCAGAAGTGACTATACTTCTTTTTGCCTACAGAGCATCTCTGCACTCTCCCTAAATTGCCTTTCCTCGGATTTCCATGTGTGATGGGATGATGAATTTCAATCCAAAGTTGTGTGAGGATTCCTGTCACATGCCCCTGGGCCTAACTCTAATTTACACTAAGTGATAAAAGCAACCAGCAGACTAGAGCAGGAAGAAGAGATGTTAAAGTAACTTTCTTCTTGGTGAAGGAAATGCAAGGTATAGATTCTAGAAAGAATTTCCATAAAAAGGAGAAAAATGTAAGAGAAAATGTGAACAAAGTTGAAACAGGAAAAGCACCGTTTGTTAAGAAATAATTAAAAGACCGTCAAAGTAGTATATTGTCAAGTTTACAAAAGTCCAGAACACATTAAATGGGGAGAAATTGTAGAAGGCTTAATTGGAATGAAGAGTTTGCACAGAGCCCAAAAATGTAAAACGTGGTCTCTGGAGAACCACTGCAACTCACTTGACCTGGCCTCATTCAGCACCTGTCCCCCAATAAATTCTACGCTATGAGTCAAGAGAACAGTGAGCCTCAGAGAATGTGGAAAAGGATGTGGTTAAACAGAGGGAAAGACAGAGCTTTTAGAGAGCAAGAAAACAAAGCAGACACTATACATGCACTATAATCCCAGCACTCAGGGAGGTGGAGGTATGTGGATCTCTGTGAGTGTGAGGCCAGCCTTGTCTATAAAGTGAGTCCAAGACAGCCATGGCTACAAAGAAACCCTGTCTTGAAAAAAAAGAGAAAGAAAGAAGGAAAGGAAGAAAGAAAGAACAAAAGAAGGAAGGAAGGAAGGAAGGAAGGAAGGAAGGAAGGAAGGAAGGAAGGAAGGAGAAAGAGAAAGAAAGGAAGGGAGGAAGGAAAGAGAAAGAACAAAAGGAAAAGAAAAGAAAAGAAAAGAAAAGAAAAGAAAACAAGTACAACAGCACAGGAATGACTTAGTTTTTCACATCCTCTGTGGCATTCTCTTCATTCTTGGTATGCCTACAAGGCAATGTCTCCCTGGAGGGGCCAGCAGGAAGCAGAGTGGGGCCTAAAGAGAAAAAATGTGAAGGAGGCTGCTGTCTGTCACTCATCAAAAGTTGCACAAAATAGGGAAAGGATGCCCTCTGCTGCCTCTTTGCTCCCTTTCCAGCTCACCAGGCTGCACACTAGAAATCTGAAGTCAAAGATGTGGTTAGTAACAGTGTGTTATCTGGAGCGTCCTGTGCCACTGTACGCCCCTTAGGTAGTGAAGGTGGCGTCCTGACGCAGTCAGAACACTCTTTTTCTTCCTAAATGACAGCACAGACATTCCCAGTAGCAGCAACGAACACACAGTCTGACCTGCCATTTTTATACATTTACAACACGGTGTTTTTGTCTCGTAAATCGGTATTTTCATTTAGATGAACCGTCCCTGAATTTCAACAGACTTTTGATAGAATATGAACTTGGAAGGGCAGAGTCCATATCTATCTTGGTTTCTCATCTATTCCCAGACTCCAGTATAAGACCTCGCTCATGTGTAGGCACATAACAAACACTGAAATACATGAAATTGCCAAAACTCAAAAGATACTGTAACTAAGATTTCATGGTCTATCTGTTGCCTGGTACAACTTTATACTCATAGTTACTAACTTCAACTGGTCTTTGCTACCAACCATCTTTTTTTCATTTCCTTGCTCTATCTGCACTGTGACTCTCTTGAACTAATCCATATTTTCTCCTCTTTCCTCAAGCCTCCAACAGGTCCTTACTTTCAATTTTTACCAAAAAATCATACTCCCCTTGGTCTCTTATAATACACACACACACACACACACACACACTCTACTGAATCAATTTAGTAGAAACATTGCCTTGCCTTTTCCACTTCTAGGATATCCCTCTCTTTGGACCTATCTTCTCCCTCCCAGCTCCCACTTCATTCCTCTTTGGCTTTTCACGGTGAAACTCCTTGAAAGACTTCTCAGCCTTTCTACTCTGTCTTCCCAGTAACCACTGACTCTGACTGACATACCATCCTTCATTCATTCATATCCTTTATTAATTTAACATCCATAAAGACAGATGGGGTTTTGGGGGTTGTTTTGTTTGTGTTTTTGCTACATCTCTATCATTTAGGAAAAGGTCTGTAACACATGAGGTGCACAGTAGCTGATAAAAACAATATTGCTGAATGGTCAGCAAATCCCAATTTAAGAAAGGACTATGTAGTGGAAGTTTTGGTTTCTTTAAAAACTCAGTTATGCTATGCAAATATGTTTTTGTTTTAATCCCAAGTGTGGGCTATGGGACTGCCTTAGTTTATCCACAGCTGCTAACAGCCTCGTGCTAACAGCTCAGAGAGGAGTGTGGTCTTTGCCAGCTGCAGTTAGTTTAATTCTGAGGACAAATACCAGAGCCCAGAGAGGAAGGATCACTTCGAAGAGACAGATGAAGAAAGAAGAAGGTTGCTGTTTTGCTGGACTACTGGATACCCTGACTACTGAGATTGGTATTTTCCCAAAGAAACCAATGATCCTACCCAACCAGAACTAAGTCTAAAGAAGTCTACTTCCCCTGTCCCTTCTAACCTTCTTTCTCTCCTGCCTAGGGATCAGGAGATTGGAAGGTAGGGAGAGGCATAAGGAACCCAAATAAAATAGAGTTAAAAACTAGCTCCTACAGGGCTGTACAATAATTTCAAACAGAGTCCTGTATCCTACTCATCTATCTTCTTGCTTTTCAACTATCTGACCTGAGGAAGGATAGCTTCACTCTTTTATAATGTTGAGGTCCTGTGACTATGTGAATAAGTCCACACAAAAGAAGCACTTTAATGCCATAGCTAAAAATTTACTTAAAAAGAATTACTCTAAAATTTACAATAAGAGGAGAAACTTGAGAAGCATATAGAGCTTTCTTAAACTCTTATGAGACCCAAATAAACTGCAGTATTTGAAAACTGATTTCTCATCATTTAAGCAAAAGTAAAATCCTAAATCAGACTGACAAATTTTGATATTCAGTGTACATTTTTCAACTTTGCCTTTACTAAATAAGAATCTCAATTACTGACAAGTTAATTGAAATATCTGAAAAACATTGAAACAGTTCTAAGAAAAAGCAATTATGAACTGCTTTGTGAATACTTCTTATGCTGTGACAATTAACTTTAAAAACTAGTCACAGATCTGCCAATAATACAATGCAACCTACAGAAGTGCTCTTAAGGCAATAAGAAATCAAATAAAAGTAAAATCAGTGATATTTACATTGATAACTACTGATTATATACACTAGTGTTCTCATTCACAAAAGTCTAAACTTTCAAAACTTAAATTTAAATCACGAACATTTAAAACCCCATAGTCAATAACAATTTACCTGTTCATAGGACCCGATCTTGAGTACTGACTCTGGCGCAATTTTAAAAACATTTACACCATTTCCTCGCCAAAGAGAAAAAGTGCCTCCTTCTTTTAACAACTGCTTGAACTCATTAACCAATCTCATTTTAGTCACTTTTGAACCATGAACCTAGAAATAAACAGCAAATTTGTTTATCAATTTATTTTGGTGGTACTATAAAAATTATTTCATTGTTGGTGAAATAATTATATCTATATATTTCATAACTGTCAACAGCAGTTTAATTTTCCTTCAGTCATATAAAATCAATGTTGGTATTTTTCTTGTCCCCAATTACACATAAAAATCATAGTCGTCTTCCCTCTACCCATTGTTTTGTGTCCCGTGTTTCAAATAAAGTGAAATCATAGAAATAAACATTTCATGTTTTTTTTTAATTGCTTGTAGTTTAGCAGATGATGAAATCACCCACAGTTTAACTCCACCTTGCTTTCTAGGGTCATGAGTCACCTCTGTGCAGTGTATCCACACGGTATATTCTACCTACCCAATAATCAGTTAAGAGGCTGTCTCAGTTACCAGGTCTACTGTCACAGTATTACCACAGTGCATATGTACCCCTTATCCTACTACATTAAGGTCCCAAAGGTCGTCAGTATGAATGTCTGCAATGTGCATATTCCAGAGAAAGCATAAAGTACTTCCTTAAGTGAGAGGATGATTGTTCTACTTTAGTATTATGTTGCTAATCTCCTATTGTGCCCTATTCCCATCTGTCACCTCTCAACCATGTCTCCATCTGTACATACCCATATATTTTTCCCTTTACATGTAAATTTTTAAGTTTTCTTATAGACCCATTACTGGGGAAACTGAGTTTTCTACTTTAATATGTAACAGAACATATTCAACCCTGTCTTTCAAAATGATTTCCAAATTTAGCTTCCTGATTGAATAATTCTACTCAGTTATAACACTAGTAAATATTCCTGGGTTATACATAGAATCAAATACATAAAAGGATAATGGGTTAGTTGTCCTCTTAGCATCTACTAAAGTATATTCCCTATACTTAGATTATTAAACTAAAGCCTTTTATTTCCACTGGCTAAATTAACCAATATATCATTATACATCTACATGGGAAATAAAAGGAGAAATAAAATAGTATATATTACGTTTGGTATTCCCATAGTACTAGTATTGAGTCTTTTTGTCTGGCTATATAATGGCATTTTAATAGTTATTATCTAATTATTTTCTCTGATGTACTGTAATTCCTCTAATGGTAAAAAGTGTGTCTAACTACAGCACTTAATCCCCATTAAAGTACCCAATATACAACATACCCTGCTAAATATGTATGGAATGAATAAACTAAGCTCCCTTAATCCAAAATAATATCCTTTTAATTCACTATATTTCTAAAAGTGGCATACAAATTTAATATTTAAGTGGAGTCACATATTTTGAATAAATGAAGAATAATTACAGATAAATTACAACATTCATAATTAGGTAACATTACAGTTTTACACAATTATACTAGAATACTATAATAACGATTTATAATTCATCAACAAAGGCTACCAATATCACCAAAACAACAGAGGACAACAAAATACCCAGATATACAATTTTAATTACAAATTTTGATCACTGCATTTTTCTTGATTTTTATATTCTTATAGAAAAAGTATTTAGCAAGTATTAACTTGTAATTATAAATTTTAATTATTATTGGATAGGTTAGCTATGTTTCTGAAAAACCGTCTGGTGGAGTGGATCTACTGCTATTTTAAGTTGAAGTTAACTTGAATAATTAGGAAGCAGCTGGCACACAGGGAAGGGCTTCTCTTGCCTCCCATCCTCAGAGGTTTCATTCATGGCAGTAGGACTGTGGAGTTCCCATCATGTGACAGGAAGCAGAGAGAGACCACCTGCTTTGGCCAATGAAGTCCTATTTGCCTTTCCCTCCACGGAGGTCTGCAGCCCATGGGATGGGGCTGCCCACCATCCGGGGGATTCCTCTTAGTTAATCCTTCTGCAAATGCCCTGCTAGCTTAATGGTGAGTGCTTTGCTAATCTGCTAGGCTCATCTCAATGAACTGACATTCAAGTATAATTCAGGATAGCCATACTAAAATCTACAGACCAAAGAAGCTAAATAACAAGGAGGACCCTAGTGAGGATGCTTAAATTTCATTCAGAATGGCAAACAGGATAGATACCAAAGTGGTGGAAGAGAGGGAATAGGATGGGAGCCTACTATAGAAGGTTCTCTGAAAGGCTCCACCCAACAGGGGATCAAAGCAGATGCTGAGACTCACAACCAAACTTTGGGCACAGCACAGGGAGTCTTATGGAAGAAGGAGGGACAGAAGGACCCAGAGGGGACAAAAGCCCCACAAGGAGACCAACAAAGCTAAAATTTCTGAGCCCAGGGGGTCCTGCTGAGACTAATGTACCAACCAAGGACCATACATGGAGAGGACCTAGACCCGCAGCTCAGATGTAGCCAAGAGGCAGCTCAGTCTCCATGTGGGTCCCAAGTAAGGGGAGCAGGGGCTGCCTCTATCATGAATTTGATTGCCTGCTCTTTGATCACTTGCCCCTGGCAATGCTGCCTTGCCAGGCCACAGAGAAAGGGGATTGACGCAGTCAGGATGAGACTTGATTAGCTGTGGGCAGATGGCAGGGGAGGAGAACTCCCCCTTTCAGTGGTGGAGGGAAGAAGAGTGGGACTGGGAGGAGTTGAGGGAGGGGGCTACAATCAGAATATACAATGAATAAATCGTGAAAAATAGACAAATAAATGAAATTTTAAAAAAAGATTAATCCTTCCAAACACCATAGGAGCCTCTTAAAGAAAACGAAGAGATACTTTACTAGTAAAGAGAAAATAATTTAAATTGTCAAGAAAACATAAAATCTCAATGGGAAGTACTATGAAATTTCACTTCTCAAGGACTCTTCGTTTGACTTCAGCTCTTCAGGAGAAGTGTAGCATGCAAACTACCTGCATCATGACTTTCAGGCGTTCTAAAGGTGCTGTGCAGGTCCGCGTCACCCCACTCGAAACTCCTGCTGCTACCAAGTGCTTCCACCAGTCTCCGGACTCCTTTTCTTGCTCTGTAAATTCATCTGGAACAGTTATACTCTCTCCTATATCAATTATCTAATAAACACACAAAAAGAGAATTAGACAGGGCAGCGTAAACATTTGAGAAGTAAGAGCATAACTTGCTACAACGATGGAGAAAACTTTTCACACAGACAAAACACTTAAACATTTTTCAGATCACCTATACTGAAGACTGACAATTGACTTAGTACCCAGTGCTTATACTCAAATGATTTTGAATAACAATTCATATGAGGATTCAAAACAAAATTTTCATTAAATTAGGTGGTAATTTAAAATAATTTTCAAACCATTTGAATAATTTCTTCCATGAAAACAATGTGAACCCTCAAGCAGGAAACACACCACTTACACAGTATCTGCCACACACTAGATGAAGAATAAATAGTAAATCAATTCCCACACTTTATTCCAAATTCTTAGACATAAGCCTAAATCAGGATTCAAGAACAGCATCTTACATGCTCCAACTTATTATTCACACTGATCTTTTGTTGATCAATTTTTTCTTTAAAAATATGTCTTACAATGAGTTTGTTTAGTAATTTTTTTAAAGACAGGATGAGATGTTTATTCTTTTTTCTTAATTACACTTTATTCACTTTGTATCCCCCATAAGCCCCTCCCTCCTCCCCTTCTGATCACATCCTCCCTCCCTCTTCTTTATGCATGCCCCTCCCCAAGTCCACTGATAAGGGAGGTCCTCCTCTCCTTCCTTCTCATCTTAGTCTATCAGATCACATCAGGAGTGGCTGCACTGTCATCTTCTGTGGCCTGGTAAGGCTGCTCTCCCCTCAAGGGGAGGTGATCAAAGAGCAGGCCAATCAGATTATGTCAGAGGCAGTCCCTCTTCCCATTACTATGTGACCAACTTAGACACTAAACTGCCATGGACTACACCTATGCAGGGGTTCTAGGTTATCTCCATGCCTGGTACTTGGTTGGAGTATGAGTCTCTGGAAAGAACCCTGTGTTCAAATTATCTGGATCTTTCTATCTCCTTGTGAGCCTCCTGTCCTCTCCAGATCTTACTATTTCCCACTTCTTACATAAGATTCCCTGTACTCTGCCCAACAGTTGGCCATAAGTTTCAGCATCTGCTTTGATAGTCTGCAGGGCAGAGCCTTTCAGAGGCCCTCTGTGGCAGGTTCCTAGGTTGTTTCCTGTTTTCTTCTTCTTCTGATGTCCATCCTCTTTGCCTTTCAGGATGGGGATTGAGTGTGTTAGTCAGGGTCCTCTCTCTTGATTAGTTTCTTTAGATGTACAGATTTTAGTACGTTTATCCTATATTACATGTCTATATGAGTGAGTATATACTGTGTGTGTCTTTCTGCTTCTGGGACAACTCACTGAGGATGATCCTTTCCAGGTCCCACCATTTACCTGCAAATTTCATTATTTCCTTATTTTTCATTGCAGAGTAATACTCCATGGTGTAGATGTACCACAACTTCTGCATCCATTCTTCAGTTGAGGGGCATCTGGGATGTTTCCAGCTTCTGGCTATTACAAATAAAGCTGCCACAAACATGGTTGGGCAAATGTCCTTATTGTATACTTGAGCCTCTTTTGGATATATGCCTAGGAGTGGTATGGCTGGATCTTGAGGAAGCACTATTCCTAGTTGTCTAAGAAAGCACCAGATTGATTTCTAGAGTGGTTGTACAAGTTTACATTCCCACCAGCAGTGGAGAAGGGTTCCCCTTTCTCCACAACCTCTCCAGCATGTGTTGTCACTTGAGTTTTTCATCTTGGCCATTCTGATGGGTGTAAGGTGAAATCTCAGAGTCGATTTGATTTGCATTTCCCTAATGGTTAATGAGGTTGAGCATTTCTTTAAGTGTTTCTCTGCCATTCTATATTCCTCTACAGAGAGTTCTCTGTTTAGCTCTGTTCCTCATTTTTTAATTGGATTACTTGGTTTGCTGCTTTTCAGCTTCTTTGGTTCTTTATATATACTGGATATGAGTCCTCTGTCAGATAAAGGGTTGGTGAAGATTCTTTCCCAATCTGTAGGCAGTCGGTTTGTTTTAATGACGGTGTCCTTTGCTTTACAAAAGCTTTTCAGTTTCATGAGGTCTCATTTATTGATTGTTACTCTTAGAGCCTGTGCTGTTGGTGTTCTGTTCAGGAAGTTGTCTCCTGTGCCAATGAGTTCAAGGGTATTCCCCACTTTTTCTTCTAACAGATTTAATGTGTCTGGTTTTATGTTGAGGTCTTTGATCCACTTGGACTTCAGATTTGTGCAGGGTTATAAGTATGGATCTACTTGTATTTTTCTACATGTAGACATCCAGTTAGACCAGCACCATTTGTCGAGGATGCTATCTTTTTTCCATTGTATGGTTTTGGCATCTTTGTCAAAGATAAGTGTGTGGGTTTATTTCTGGGTCTTCTGTTCTGTTCCATTGATCCACCATTCTGTTTCTATGCTAGTACCATGCAGTTTTTATTACTGTTGCTCTATAGTACAGCTTGAGATCAGGGATGGAGATCTTTTATTGTAGAGGATTGTTTTAGCAATTCTCGGTTTCTTGTTATTCCATATGAAGTTGAGAATTTTTCTTTCCAGGTCTGTAAAGAATTGTGTTGGTAATTTGATGGGAAATGCATTGAATCTGTAGATTGCTTTTGGTAAGATGGCCATTTTTACTATGTTAATCCTGCCCAGCCATGAGCATAGGAGATCTTTCCATCTTCTCATATCTTCTTCTAATTCTTTCTTCAGAGACTTGAAATTTTTTTCATACAAGTCTTTGATTTGCTTGGTTAGGGTTACACCAAGGTACTTTGTCATTTGTGGCTATTGTGAAGGGTATTGTCTCCCTTATTTCTTTCTCAGCCCTTTTGTCTTTTGTATACAGGAGTGCTACTGATTTTTTTGAGTTAATTTTGTATCCGGCCACTTTGCTGAAGGTGTTTATCAGCTGTAGGAGTTCCCTGGTAGAGTTTTTGGAATCACTCACGTATACTATCATATCATTTGCAAATAGTGATAATTTGACTTCTTCCTTTCCAATTTGTATTCCCTTGATCTCTTTCAACTGTCTTATTGCTCTAGTGATAATTTGACTTCTTCCTTTCAAATTTGTATTCCCTTGATCTCTTTCAACTGTCTTATTGCTCTAGCAAGGACTTGAGAAAGTGGGCAGCCTTGTCTTGTCCCTGATTTCAGTGGGATTGCTTTAAGTTTCTCTCTGTTCAGTTTGATGTTGGCTATAGGCTTGCTGTATATCGCCTTTACTATGTTTAGATATATGCCTTGTATCCCTGATCTCTCCAATACTTTAAATATGAATGGATGTTGGATTTTGTCAAATGGTTTTTCAGCATTTAGGGTGATTACCAAGTGTTTTTTATTTCCTTTCAGTTTGTTAATATGGTGGATGACATTCATGGATTTCCGTATATTGAACCACCGCTGCATACCTCGGATGGAGCCTACTTGGTCTAGTGGATGATATCTTTGATGTGTTCTTGTACTCGGTTTGCGAGTATTTTGTTGAGTATTTTTGCATCAATGTTCATAAGGGAGATAGGCCTGAAATTCTCTTTCTTTATTGGGTCTTTGTGTGGTTTAGGTACCAAGGTGACTGTGGCTTCATAGAATGAGTTTGGTAATGTTCCTTCTGTTTCTATTTTGTGGAATAGTTTGAAGAGAACTGAAGTTAGCTCTTCTTTGAAGGTCTGGTAGAATTCTGCGCTGAAACCATCTGATCCTGGGCTTTTTTGGATGGGAGACTTTCGATGACTGCTTCTATTTCCTTGGGGGATATAGGACTATTTAATTAATTTACCTGGTCCTGATTCAGCTTTAGTAAGTCGAATCGATCAAGAAAATTGTCCATTTCATTTAGATTTTCAAATTCTGTGGCATATAGACTTTTGAAATAAGTCCTAATGATTGTTTGGATTTCCTCAGTGGCTGTAGTTATGTCCCCCCTTTCATTTCTGATTTTGTTGATTTGGATGGTGTCTCTAAGCCTTTTAGTTAGCTTGGCTAAGGGTTTATCTATCTTGTTGATTTTCTCAAAGAACCAGCTCTTGGTTTCATTGATTCTTTGAATTGTTTTATTTGTTTCTAATTGATTGATTTCAGCCTTGAGTTTGATTATTTCCAGCCATCTACTCCTTTTTTTGGTGTGTCTGCTTCTTTTTCTAGGGCTTTTAAGGGAGCCATTAAGTTGCTTAAATGAGCTGTCTCAAATTTCCTCTTGAAGGCAGTTAGTGCTATGAACTTTCCTCTTAGCACTGCTTTCATTGTGTCCCACAAGTTTGGGTATGTTGTGTCTTCATTTTCATTGAGTTCTAGAAAGACTTTAATTTCTTTCTTTATTTCTTCCCTGACCCAGCTGTCATTTAGTAGCAAGTTGTTCAGTTTCCATGTGTGTAGGCTTTTTGCTATTTCTGTTGTTGTTGAGATTTACCTTTATTCCATGGTGATCAGACAGGATACAAGGGATTATTTCAATCTTCTTGTATCTGTTGAGGCTCGCTTTGTGACCCACTATATGGTCTATTTTGGAGAAGGTTCCATGAGGTGCTGAGAAGACGGTAAATTCTTTTGTGTTTGGGTGTAAGGTTCTGTAAATGTCTGTTAGGTCTATTTGATTCATGACCTCTGTTAGAGACATTGTTTCTTTGTTTAATTTCTATTTTGCTGACTTGTCCTTTGTTGAGAGTGGGTGTTGAAGTCTCCCACTATTAATGTGTGGGGATGTATATGTGGTTTAAATTTTATCAATGTTTCTTTTACAAATGTGGGTGCCCTTGTATTTGGGGCATAGATGTTCAGGATTGTGATGTCTTCCTGGTGGAATTTTCCCTTGATGAGTATAAAGTGTCCTCCCCCATCTCTTTTTATTAATTTTAGTTGAAAATCTATTTTATCAGATATTAGAATGGCTACTCCTGCTTGCTTCTTGGGTCCATTTGCTTGGAAAGCCGTCTTCCAACCCTTTACCCTCAGGTAATATCTATTGTTGTGCCTTAGGTGTGTTTCTTGTATGCAACAGATTGCTGGGTTTTGTTTATGGATCCACTCTGTTAGTCTGTGTCTTTTTATTGAAGAATTGAGTCCATTGATGTTGAGAGAGATTAATGACTAGTGGCTGTTAGATCCTTTGATTTTGATGTTGGCTGTGGTCATAAGGTTGTGTTCTTGGTTGCTTTTTGTTTTACTGTAGTAAGGTTAATTATTTCCTGTGTTTCCTTGAAAGTAGCTAGTTTTCTTGGGTTGTATTTTCCCTTCTAGTGTCTTCTATAATGCTGGATTTGTGTGTAGGTATTGTTGAAATTTGTTTTTGTCATTGAATATCTTGTTTTCTCCATCCATGAGGACTGAGAGTTTTGCAGGGTATAGTAGCCTGGGCTGACATCTGTGTTCTCTTAGGGTCTGCATGATATCCGTCCAGGCCCTTCTGGCTTTCATAGTCTCTGTTGAAAAGTCAGGTGTGATTCTAATGGGTTTGCCGTTATATGTTACTTGGGCTTTTTCCCTTGCAGCTTTTAGTATTTTTTCTTTGTTCTGTATACTTAGTTTTGATTGTTATGTGGCAGGAGGATTTTCTTTTCTGGTCTAATTTATTGGGTGTTCTGTAGGCCTCTTGTATTCTTATTGGCCTCTCCTTTACGTTGGGGAAATTTTCTTCAATGATTTTGTTAAAAATATTTTCTGGGCCTTGGAGCAGGGAATCTTCTTTTTCCTCTATTCCTATTATTCTTAGGTTTTGTCTTTTTATGTTGTCTTGAATTTCTTGGACGGTTTGTGTCAGAAATTTTTTAGATTTAACACTTTCTCTGACAGATACATCTATTTCTTCCATTGTATCTTCCACACCTGAGATTCTTTCTTCCATCTCTTGTAGTCTATTGGTTATGCTAACCTCTGTATTTCCTGTTTTCTTCCCTAAGTTCTTTCTCTCCACAATTTCCTCCATTTGTGTTTTCTTTAATTTTTCCAATTCTATCTTCAGATCTTGAGCCGTTTTGTTGATTTCCTTCATCTGTCTGACTGTATTTTCATGTTTTTCCATCAATTCCTTCAGCTGTTTGTTTGAATAATCCTCTGTTTCTTTTATTTCATTCAGTGATTTAAGCATTTCCTCTCTAAAGGCCACAAATTGTTTGGCTGCAACTTCCTGTATTTCTTCACGGATGGCCATAATCTGTTTGAGTTTATCTTCCTCTAGGTCTTTACATATTTTACTTGTTTCCTCTGTTATCCTCTTCATGAGCATAGATGTTAGGTCATCTTCTTGGATTTCAATTATGCTGGAGTGTCCAGGGCTACTTGCCCCTGGATAACTGGGTTCTGGAGATGCCATATTGCTCTGTGTTTTGTTGGTTGAGCTTTTACGCTGGGCTCTACCCATTGGGCTATCTTAGGTGTTTGGCGTTAGTTTCTGGTGGTTCCTGGAATCCTGTGGTGGAGAGAATCCCCTTGGAAGAAAGATGGTTTTTCCTGAAGGAAGCCTTCTCAGCTTTTTAGGTATAGTCACTGGATGGCTGGTGTTTTTCAGGAGTTGCCGCTGCTCACCTCAGGCATAGATACCTGAGTGTAACTGTGGTCCTTGTTAGTTGAGAGGGCTCTCCTCTCACCCAGAGAAGTCCTGAGGACAACTGCCCTGCTTCTGGGTTTCTTGCTGTAAATTTAGTGATCTGCTTCTGTAACTTGTGTGTCCCGTGGTTTGGTCAGTTTTGTTAGAGATAACTGGTTGCCCCTTGGAGCAGTACCTGAGGGTTGATCTCGGGGATTCCGGGCTTTTGTAGGTCTGAGGTTGGGGCTCTGTGCCCCAGTACCCAAGCGATAATCTGTGGCGCGTGGGTACCGCTCTCCTGGTAACAGCAGACTATCTGGTGCACAGCACGTCCCTGGGTTGGGCTGGCCTGCGGGACCTATTGCAGGGATATACTGGGTGGCCTAAGTCCGTCCCCTTTGCTTAGTTCCCTGTGGGGTTTTCTCGTGACAGGGAACTCCCAGTCTCGGTTGCCCTGGGGTGCACAGCTCTGTCTGTGCTGGAGAGCTGGCGCACAGCAGCAACTGTCTGTGCTCAGGGCAGGAGCCCAGTTCAGTGATGGTGGCTCGTACCCGCCGGTCTGCGAGACTTTTTCCAGGGAAAGACTGGGTGACCCAAGTCAATACCATTTCCTTCCTTCCCTGTGGGGTTTTCTTGCAACTGGGACTCCCAGTCTTTGATGTTTTTTGTGCTCACTAATCAGCCTGGGAAGGTGATCAGGACACGCAGGCGTGTGGCTCTGGTCTGGTGACCTAGTGCCGAGATCTCTTCCAGGTTCTGGCTGGGGGACCTGAGAGTGGACCCGACTGATTCCCACGCCATGGGGGTTTCCTCTCACCTGGGAAACACGATCGATCGCTGTCGTTTTAGGGCCCAGAGTTCAGTCTCTTGGTCGCTGTATGGAAAATGTTGTCCTGCTCCTCAGACGCAGCGTTCTCCCGGTGCTGCGATCTTGTCCCTCCCCCAATTCTGAAATCTTAATATGTAATTTTATATTTCAGAAGCCAAAAGACCCACTCAAGATATCCGTGTAAATAGAGAAGAAAATACATTTTCTCATTTTTCTAAGACAATGCAACTATGCATAACAACATGATTTTTAACACAGAGTGGGTCCTTTCAATGGGCAACTATTGTTTTTTTTTTCTTTAGAAGTCAGAAAGTTTTGTTTATATACTTTTATTTTTTATTTTTTTTACAATTTATTCACTTTATATCCCAATCCTCATCTTCTCCCAGTCTCTCCCTACCTGTCCCCACCCCATCCCCATCCCCTAGCCTACTGAAAGGTGGAGGTGGGGGCAGGGGGGAGTTCTCCACCTTGGCCATCAGCTCATAGCTTATCAAGTTTCGTCATGACTGCCTGGATCCTCTTCCTCTGTGGCCTAGCAAAGCCACACTGCCAGGGGGAAGTGATCAAAGAGAGGCAACTGAGTGCATGTCAGAGACAACCTCTGCTCCCCTTACTCAGGCACCCATATGGAGACTGAGCTGCCTATGGGCTACATCTGAGCAGGGGATCTAGGTCGTCCCCAAGCATAGTCCTTGGTTGGTACATTAGTCTCTGCAGGGCTCCCTGGGCCCAGATTTTTTTGGCTTTGTTGGTCTCCCTGTAGAGATCCCATCCCTTCCAGATCCTTTTATCTCCCCCTTCTTCCATAAGACCCTGCCCAAAGTTTGCCCTCTGCCCAAAGTTTGTTTGTGAGTCTCTGCATCTGTTTCAATACCCTGTTGGGTGGAGATTTTCAGAGATCTACGGTAGGCTCTTGTCCTGTTCCCTCTCTGCCATTGCTTCCAGTGTCTATCCTGTTTAATAGGCACCTATTATAAATTGTAGGTTTTAACAAACAAATTGTGATTTCTATGTTGTTACATAACATACTAATACTCCTTCCTAAATTAGTAGACTATTGTTAAAAGGAAATAATGCATCCTTAGCCACTGAGGCTAAAACCATAATAGGGATTGTGTGATATTTATAACTACAACACTTAAAGAAAAATAAAAACAGTAAAATGCAGAATAACCTTACAGTAGAATGCTTCCAAAAACAAATAATTTCCTTGATATTTTTTGCAGGGTGGAGGAAAAAGTAGTCTCTCCATTCATCCCAGTCTATCGTCATTGACCCATCGCTATCCATGCTGAAATAAAATATTAAATGGTGTTTAATAACACTTGTAACGTCACCATTATTCACAATTCTGAAACGCTTCTGGAGTGTTTCTTGTTGAAGCCATTCCTCTGGACTTCATCAACAGCACTGTGTTTTCATTTTTTCCTTTTAAAGAATACAGTATCCTTTAGAGAAAAGTCAGACTTCAAGAGAAATTGAGAGGATGGTAGAGACAACTCTGATACAGCCCTACATCTATGTTTTCCTGTTGGTTATATCTAACATGACTGTGGTTTATTTGTTTCAATTTACAACTTTATTTGTTACAATTTTAAACTAATGTTCTTTTTCCACTTCAGCATCACACTGAGATGTAACATTCTATTCAGTTATAATATATATCTCCCTAAATTCCTCCCAACTATGGCAGTTTTCAGACTTTTCTTATTTTTAACAATGCTGACATTTTATAAGATCGCTGAGGATCAGGGGCTAGGGAGACAGCCCAGCATGTAAAATGCTTGTCTTGGAATCACAAGGATCTGAGTTCAGTCCCCAGAACCCATGTAGAAACAAGCTACTTTTGCTGAGGAGATGGAAGCTGGAAGGTCCCCCTGGCTCACTGGCCAGCCAGCCTAGCATACACTGGGAGACCCCATCTCAACAGAAGAAAACAAACAGGTGGATGGAGGCAGTGGCACAACATCTGAGCTTGTCCTCTCACCTCTACATGCACGAGTACACAAGGACATACACATGCACGCGCGCGCGCGCGCACACACACACACAGGCACACGCTCATCAGATGTCTCATAGACTGCCCCTCCACTAAAATCAATCACATGTTGCTTTTCAATGTAATTGTTTTTAATGTAATTCTCACATTTCCTATTATTTCCTGAGGTGAGAGTATTTTAAGATCATCTGCACATCTCTAGCACCGAGCTGTTGACTGACTAAGTCAATAGCTGACTGAAGAATAACCGTGTCTCTTCTGGGTCCTCTAGTATCATGTTTACCTTCAACCCTCTTTTTCATGTTTACAACTTCCAAATCAACTTCAGTCATTTCTGTACATATATTCCATTTTTTAATACCTAATACTCCATTTTCACTTTGCACAGCTCAGTGTTAATTCAATTTTCACATGTCCCCCGAGAAAATGGCTCAGTGCTGCACAAGTCTCATGACCTGAGTTCAGTTCCCAAAACCCATGACCCACAGAGGAACGGGCGACTTGCCTTCTCCACGTTGGCTTCCACCTTCCACACTCAGCACGTGTGCCCCTGCACATGCACAATAATAAAAATTTCACCTTAAAAATTGTCTCTTTGTGTCTAGGTAAACAGTAAAGTAAGATGGGGGAATTTTAATACAACTTTTCTAAAATGGTAATTTTGCCAAACAAAATTTATTCTCCTGACAAGCAGCCTAGCACAATTCGCAGCACCAGCGAATTCACTGTGAGCATTCATGAACTGACAAAAATGAGTGTCTGCAGGCACTGGGCCAGAAGCATGCTCAGACGTAAGCCAAGTTCCCCTCCATGCTGGCTGCTAGCTGAGAGCAGTTTCCAAATGGTTGCATGTGGAGTCTAAGTAGAGAAGGAATGGATAGAACAAAAGAGATGTGCAACTCAGACCTCCTGGCAAGCAGGAACTCACAGGTGAATTCTGTGTATAAGCACCCAAATAGTAAGCTACAAATGATTCCATCGGCCTGACCATAAAACGACTATGGCACCTGGACATGGTGGCTCACACTGGCATTTCCAGAAATCTGGAGGCTGAGACAGAGCAGTGAATTCAAGGGCATTATGAGCACAAAGTGAGTGAGTTCCAGGACAGCCTGGCTACACAGACCTTCTCTCAAACAGACAAACAAAGAAAGGCAAAGCAAAAGAAGCACTAAAGGCCTGTCTGCTTAGTGGAAAGTGAGATATCTGAAAGTTGATGAACTAATTATGTAATTTAGCAATTTGTAATAACAACGATAAACATAAAGAACACACATACTATTTAAACAAATTTAACTGAAAATAAAAATAGGAAGCAAAGGAACTCATGTGACAACTTCATAAATACAAAAGATTTTCTTTTGACCCCCCCCACGAACCACATATGTGCCTCCCACCCACGTGCATATATACATGCATTCATACACACATATATGCACACACAAACTAAAATAGTAAAAATTTTTAAATAAAATTGGGAAATTTTCAGTGGCTTTGTTCTCTTCAAAAGGCACACATAAACCTCACTGTTTAAAAAAAAAAAAAAAAAAAGGAACATTGTTATCAATTTGGAAGAAAGCAAACAGGTGATAAGACTGATGAACCCACTGCCACCTCCGAGGCAGGTCCCAGCAGTCAGTGCAGTGGCAGCTTGCAGCACAGCTCTGTGACAGGCTCGGTATCCCACGTGCCCCCACCTTACGCCACCATGCTGGCCAAGAGGAAAGTCAGCACAGCGCAGACAGGCGGTGAAAGTGGAGCACGAGGCACCACCTCCACTTGGCAAGGCTAGCCGCCTAACTTGCCTGTGACAAGGCAGACCCCAAGTTTGCGGAGTGGTGTTGGAGGGCTGTGAGGCACCACTGGAAGACAAATCATTAGACAAAATAGTGCAAACCGAAGAGAAGGGAGCAAAGGGCAAACAGGCTCAGGTGGCTGGCCAGCAGACTACAGATCTGCTTGCAGAAAATGTTGGGCCCAAAAAGCAGAGTCCAGCCTCTGAAGGAGAAGAGACAGAAGACCATCATGTCTGTCAGTGGTCCTCGCCTCCTTTCTTGTTCAATCCAGAGAAATGCTTTTATCAACTATTTAGTAAATGCGTGTTTTCATTAAGTATAAACAATGTTTAAGAGGTGAAATCATTCACTGGTTGTTTTTTGAGGGGGGACAGTTAGAACTAGAAGATAGTGGGGCACTGATCAGGAGAGGCTGTGACTGTTCGAGGTCACTGTAACATGCCACAGAGGGGCTAGTGTTATATCCTACAAAACCAAGCAGACTGAACTGCAGTTTGAACTCTCAGCCAGGGGTTTGTGTCTGCAATGTTTTCAGTTACATCTGGTCTGAATGTTTCTACTAGACCCGTTTTCTAAACCTCCACTGCTTGGCCCCTGCCCAGTTTGAACCGTAACTATGGCTCTGTAGTATAATGTGAAATCAGGTAGTGTTTCCTCCAGCACTGTTATTTTAGATCAGTATTGCCTCGGCTACACTGGGTCTTTCGTGCTTCTATATAAATTTCAAAGATGTTTTTCTTTCTATGGAAAACAGTGTTAGAATTTTGATAAGTATTGGACTGAGACTGTAGATTGTTTTCACAGGACATACTCGTGCCGCGCACACACACAGACATAAGAGGGCTTTAAAAACACAGCTTTTTAAAAAACGGACTTAAGAACTATAAAGTATGAATGGTTCTATAACTGTTAATGAAATTTAATGAGAATCCTCCCACATAGGAACCAGAAGGCTCAGCTAGTTTTATGTAAGTTCTTTTAAACCTAAGAAATAGGAAACTACAGTTCCTGGTGGGTCAATCGTGTTCCACCAGCACAGACTAGGAGTCAAGGAGTTGTTTAAATGAAGAAAAAAGAAGAAGGAAGACAAAAAACGGCAAGTATATGCAGTTGTGTGCGCTAGGAAAGTGGAAGTGGGTCTGGGGAGAGCTGGGGAAGGAGCAAAGAATAAGTAAGATCAAAATACAGTTGTGAAATTCTCAAAGAATAAATAAAATGTTAAGTGTGTGAGTAAAAAATGTAATAAAACTCTAGTTATGGGGAAATTGCCTGGAATGCTTGTTTTTTAATGCAATGTTCCATGTCAATAAAATATTAGAAACTCTGCAGTTTGCAGCAAATCAGCCTGATTGGTTCTGATGTAGGTCTGAGGAGCCACCAGTCTGAAGGACAATGCTAGTGAGATGGCTCAGCAGGTAAAAGGTTCTTGCCTAAGAACTGAGTTTGGTCCCCAGGACCCACCTGGCAGAAGAAACCAACTCCTACAAGTTGTTCTGTGTGCCCTGGTGTACATGCTCCTGTAAACTGATGATGATGATAACAATGACAACGATGTATTATTAATAACAAAAGGGACTCAGAGCCACAGAGTGCAGGAAAAAAAAAAAAAAGGAAACAAACAGCTATAATGACTAGTATTCTCACCTGAACACCTAAGAGACAAGCCTCCAGGCACACCTGTGAGGGACTGTCTAGGTTAAGGTTAGCCTCTGAGACTGTCTGTGAAGCATCATCTTGATTATGCTAATTGATGTAGGAAGACCCACCTACTGTGAGTGGCACCATTCCTGGGCAAGGGATCCCAGAAAAAGGGCGCTGAGCACGGCATGCATGCATTAGCTCATGGCTCTCTGCTCTTAACTGTGGGTGTAACGTGACCAGCCACTTCACGTCCAACACAGTAAAGGACTATGCCCTGGAACTGTAAGTCCAATAAGACCTTTCTCCTTTAAGTTGCTTTTGTCAAGGTATCGTATCCAAGCAACAGAAAACTTAACTAACATAAAAATCCAATTCTATTTTATGTTTTACAAAGAACATACATAAAGATACTATTCCCCAACTCATTCCAGGAGGTCAATGTATAACATAGAAAGGCAAAATTAGGAGACAGCACAGAAAGGCTGATCTGGGCAATCTCTCTCATGAAAACAATTGCAAAAATTATGAACAAAGTTTTAGCAAGTTGGCTACATCACAAGGTGTGTGTGTGTGTGTGTGTGTGTATGTGTGTGTTTGTGTGTGTGTGTGTGTGTGTATGCATACACACACACGTGCATTCGAATTTATGTGGATATGAAGGCCAGATACCAATCTTTGATGTCATTCCTCAGGGGTCATTTCATTGGCCTTCTTTTTTTCAGGGTCCCTCAGTGATATCTGGAGTATCTTTGGTTTCTATTGCTATTATGAGGCCATGACCAAAAGCAACTTAGGGAGGAATGGGTTCATTCCATCTTACAGCTCATAGTCCATCATATAGGCAGGAACTCAGGACAGGAACTTGGAGGCAGGAACTGAAACAGAGGCTATGGAAAAACACTGCTTACTGGCTTGCTCCCCATGGCTTAAGGACTGGTTTCTTATACAACCCAGGCCTACCTGCCCAGGGGTGGCACCCCTCAGGAAGGTGAGCCCTCCCCCATCAAACATTAATCAAGAAAATGCCCCAGAGCCTTGCCTAAAAACAATCTGAGGAAGTTATTTTCTCAGTTGAGGATCATCTTCCAAGTAACCTTGGCTTATGTCAAGTTCACACACACACATTCGCATGCGCGCGCGCGCACACACACACACACACACACACACACACACTCACCAGGACATAGGGTTTGCTCATCAGGCTAGCTGGCTAATGGCCTCCAGGAATGACTGTCTCTATATTCCCAGAGCATGCCATCATCCCTAGACTTTAAGTGGTTGCTGGGCATCACACTCAAGTCCTCATGCTTCACAGCAAGCACTTTACCAACTCTCCTATCTTCCAGGACCCCATGAGAGAAAAATTTAGTATGTTTACCACCAGATGAATGCAGATAAATTAATAAAAAGAAAATTGATAATATACCACACCTAAAGATTAAAGAAATATGTTCAATCATCTCATAAATGTAAACCCATCTGAATTTTTAAAAATCTCTCTACAAAATGAGAGATGGTGCCTGAAGTGCCACATGTGCAGAATTAGTTTCTTACACAGACTATAAAACACAAAACTATTAAGAAGCGGGAGCGCAGGCTGACCTTTTCAGGATGTCCCTTGCCTGAGAGCGAGAAATGTGGAGTCCCAGTGTTCGCAGGGCAGCAACTACTTCTGAAGCATCTATTACTCCTTTAAAAAGTCAGAAACACTAAGTTAAGAATCTGAAAAAAATGACAAAAATATGCTTAGAATACGACCGTATTTGAGTTAAAGTCTGTGTCTGGTGAGTCTTTACTCCCAAATTCATAACTCAAAGCCTAAAAACTCCAAAATGTTGGCACCAAGTTTACATTTTCTAGAAAAGTCTCTTTAAACTGAGACAAGAACAGGTTTACTCAGTTATTTATCTAATTAAATCTGAACATTCATGTTTCGGGACAAAATTATTTATGAATATAATAGCTCATGGCCCAGATATCATGCAGAATATCACAAATCACAAGCACACTGCATTTCTATAAACTCCAAATTCTAAATTTCAAACAGCATCTAGCCCCAATGACTACAGATTGTAACACATTTGACTGTTTTACCTATTTGAAAAGAATTGAAAACGTTACTGCTGAAACCTGATTCAGGGGCACAAGAAAACAGGACTCGCCTATAAAGGACTCTGTAAAAGAGTCAACCCCCTCATAGAACCAAGCTCTTTCAACAAACAGGTACTGTGATAACTAACTCTAATAATGTGTGTGTACACATATACAATTAAAATTTTCCCTCCTGTTGAGCAGGCCTTAAGTCCAATAAGAGAGCTGTGCGTTTTCACCAAGGTATCTGTATCATATACATACATACATACATACATATGTGTGTGTGTGTGCGCGCGAGCGCGCCTTCTATGCGGTTCACTTTTACATTGCTAGATGTTGTGACAGAAAATTAAAAATTCCTATTCTCCTCAAACTCCAAAATAAAAATATAATACATAAAATTTTCCAAATTAAAAATAAAGATTATTTTTACTTTTATTATATTTTTTCTTTTTTTCATTTTTAAATAATTTGCTACCATTTTACATGCATGTTTTGCCTGCCTTCATGCCTATGTGAGGGTGTCAGATCCCCTGGAACTGGAGTTACAGACAGTTGTGAGCTGCCATGTGAGTGCTGGAAATGGAACCTGGGTCCTCCGCAAGAGCAGCCAGTGCTCTTAACCGCTGAGGCATCTATCCAGCCCCCTCTTTTTCTATTTCTTTTACATTTTAATATAATTACATCATTTCCCCCTTCCTTTTCTTCCCTCTAACCCCACCCATGTACTTCCCTATTCTCTCTCTCAAATACATGGCCAATTTTTCATTGTTGTGATATGCTCGTGTATATTTGAAAGACCCCCGGAGGGTATCTTTCGTCTGAGAGACCCCCTCCCAAGGAACAACGAGGCCATTTGGATGCAAACAGCAAGAGGCTTTTATTTTGATACACGGGTACCCGGGGCAGCAGAGTCACTCGGAGGACTTGCACGCCCTCTGGGTGCAAAGCTGGGCTTTTTATAGGGTTTTAGAGCAGAAGCGCAGGTACAGAAGCGAGAAGCATGGTTACAGGGGGCTGATTGGTACATTTACATGAGACCACGGTTTGCGTCAAAGTTTGGCAGGGACACCAAGATTCCAGGAACTGGGTGGTCAAAATGGTCATGATGACCCCTTGACGTGGCCCACCACCTGTTGTTTTCCTTAGGACTCTTATCTCAACTGGAACAATCTCACAGATATCCATGAGGGTGATTAACACAAACTGTTTTTAGCTCGACTGGGGCAGCCTGACTGCAGATATCCCAAGTGGATGACACAGCTGGGTTTTTTAGTAATTTTCCAGTTTTCCATTTAGCCTTCAGAGTTTTACAAAACAGTGGTGTCCCACAAAATGGCGTTAGCTATGTTTAACTTAGGGTGAGGCTGGGGTCTTTCATATTTATTTATATATGTATGTGTTCTTAAATATGTAAATACAACCTGTAAGTCCATGTAATGTTACTTGTATGTATATGTTTTAAGGCTAACCATTTGTTAATGGATAAGCAACTGGTGTGTTCCTCCCTAGGGTAGACTATCTAGCTTCCATCATTCTTTAGATGCCTATTGCTCTTTGCCTCAAGCTGATGCTTCTTAAGCTTTCCTCTCTCCACATTAGTATGTCTGAGGATGCTGTCCTTGTTCAGGTCTTGTTTAAGCAGACGTATTGGTGAGACTTCATAGGTGTAACTTTCTGCCCTCTTCAATAATGATCCCTGAACCTTAGGTGCAGGAGTTGTGTTGTAGGTGTTATCAGTTGGGACTTGGCTCCAGAGCTCAGCATGTGATCTTCTGTGAATGTCTCCATCTGCTGCAAAGAGAAATTTCCTTGATGAGGAGTGAAGACTACACTTATCTGCGGGTATAAGGACAATATTTAGAATGTACCTAGGTGTTACTCTGGTTAGCAAAGTTACAGTTGTAAGTTTTCCTCCAAAATCCATGACTTCAGTAGTCCTGAGTGGTTGGCTAGGTTTCCAGGACCAGCCGTGATTTCCTCCTGCTGAGCAGGCCTTAAGTCCAATAAGAGAGCTGTGGGTTACCCCTAAGGTATGTGAGTCACTACTGCTCCCTTAGGTTATGGTGCCAGGAGGGGCGTTGTTGCAGTTCACAGGCATGTCCAAGTGCCAGAGTGTGGATGTGGAAGTCAAAAGACAAGTTCAAGAATCAGTCTATTAGCAAAAAGACAGGCATGGTATATACTCACTCATATAAACATACAACATAGAATAAACCCACTAAAATCTGTACATCTAAACAAACTAAGCAAAAGAGAGGACCCTAACTAAAATGTTCACTCCCCATCCTGAAAGGCAAAGAGGATAGACATCAGAAGAAAAAGAAAATAGGAAACAACCTCGGAACCTGCTACAGAGGGCCTCTGAAAGCCAGAAGAAAACAGGAAACAACCTTGGAACCTGCCACAGAGGGCCTCTGAAAGCCTCTGCAGTATAGACTGTCAAAGCAGATGCTGAGCCTGATGGACAACTGTTGGGCAGAGTGAATAGAATTTTATGTAAGAAGTGGGAAATAGTAAGAGCTGGAGGGGACGGGAACTCCACAAGCAGAGCAACAGAACAAGATAATTTGAACACAGGGAACTTCCCAGAGACTCATACTCCAACCAAGGACTATTCATGGAGATAACCTAGAACCCCTGCACAGATGTAGCCCATGACAGCTCAGTGTCCAAGTGGGTTACCTAGTAATGGAAAGAGGGACTGCCTCTGACATAATCTGATTGGCCTGCTCGTTGATAACCTCCCCCTAAGGGGGGAGCAGCCTTACCAGGCCACGGTAGAGGACAATGCAGCCACTTTTGCTGAGAACTGATAGACTAAGATCAGAAAGGAGAGGAAAACCTCCCCTATCAGTGGACTTGGGGAGTGGCATGCATGCAGAAAGGGGAGGGAGGGTGGGATCGGGAGGGGAGGAGGGAGGGGCCTATGGGGGGATACAAAATAAATAAAGTGTAATTAATAAAAAATTTAAAAAAAAGAATCAGTCTATTCTTTCACTGTAGGATCAGGGAGCACACTCAGGTCGGCACGCTTGCAGAGCCAGCACCTTACCCACTGAGCCATCTCAGTGGCCCTGATAATTCCTGAATGTATATATCATCCTTTATATCAACTTTAGTTTCTCCTGATTCAAAATACATCAAAATGCTAACCATAAATTTAGTCATACTTTTCACTTATGTAAACCACTTCTAGAAATTATGTATGAGAAACTATATACATGTGAGGTTATTAACTAATCCATCAACCAAGACACTTTTTCATACAATGTCTCAAATTTTCTTTACAAGACTCAAGTGTTCCAAGTTCCAGACAATGGAGTTTACTGGCCTACAAACCAAAGTTTCTTCAGATGATACACTCTACTCCTTCCTTAACAAATACTCATCAGTTAAATTCAATATTTGTAAAATTGTCAATCTGCTATGTAAATCACTGTCTTCACTAGAGTTACTACTACTGTGATGAAACATCAAGATCAAAAGCAATGTGGGAAGGAAAGGGTTTATTTCACTCAGTTCTACTTTTCAGTTCCTCAATAAAAGCAGTGGGGTCAGAAACTCAAGTGGGGCAGAGCCTGGAGCCAGGAGCTGATGCAAGGCATGCTGCTTACTAGCTTGCTTCTCTTGTTCAACCTGCTTTTTTAATTAATTTAATTTTTTATTAATTACAATTTATTCCTTTTGTATCCCAGCTGCAGCCCCTCCCTCATCCCTTCCCAATCCTACCCTTCCTCCCTCTTCTCCCCCTATGCCCCTCCCCCAGTCCACTGATAGGGGAGGTCTCCCTCCCCTTCCACCTGACCCTAGCCTATCAGGTCTCATCAGGATTGGCTGCATTGTCTTCCACTGTGGCCTGGCAAGGCTCTCTCCCTCAGGGGGAGGTGATCATAGAGGCAGCCACTGAGTTCACATAAGAGACAGCCCCTGTTCTTCTCATTAGGGAATCCACTTGGACACTGAGCTGCCATGGGGTACATCCGAGCAAGGGTTCTAGGTTATCTCCCTGAATGGTCCTTGGTTGGAGTATCAGTCTCAGAAAAAAAAAGAAAGAAAGAAAGAAAACAAAAACTGGGCCCAGATTTTTTGGTTCTGTTGCACTTCTTGTGGCGCTCCTGACCCCTCCAGGTCTTTCTTTCTATCTCCCCCTTCTTTCATAGGATTCCCTGCACTCTGCTCAAAGTTTGGCTATGAGTCTCAGCATCTGCTTTAATACGATGCTGTGTAGTCTTTCAGAGGCCCTCTGTGGTAGGCTCCTTTCCTGTTCCCTGTTTTCTCCCTCCTTCTGATGATGTCCATCCTGTTTGCCTTTCCGAATGAGGATTGAGCATCTTACCCAGGGTCGTCCTTCGTGCTTAGCTTCTTTAGGTGTACAGATTTTAGTAAGATTATCCTATATTATATTTCCAATATCCACTTATAAGTGAGGCTATCCCATGTGTGTCTTTCTGCTTCTAGGATACCTCACTCAGGATGATCTTTTCTAGTTCCCACCATTTGCCTGCAAATTTCATGATTTCCTTGTTTTTAATTGCTGAGTAGTATTCCATTGTGTAAATGGATACAATTTCTGTATCCATTCTTCAGTTGAGG